TCTAGTATAGTATTTATTTATTTAATAATTTTGAATTCCACACGTAGGTGTTTAATAAAATATTACTTTATAACAGTGGCGGCTCGTAGATAGGGGCGATGGGGCGATCGCCCCCCTTCTAAAATTATCATTTATTACAAATTTATAAGTTTATTATCAATTTTTAATTTTATATTGTAGTATAATATTATCAAAAATAAAAATTGTGTTTTCTATAATATTTATATTATTAAGTATTATGAAAACATTATCAGATAATGGTGTTTAAAAATAAATCATTCAACACTGTAGCTTCTGAAAATCGATAACCGATAACGATTTACCAATATCCGCGAGTAGCGCATGCCATGCTTGGGCGATGTTAAAAGTCGCTCGTCATAACTATGATCGGAATACAAAAACTAAGAAGGGGGAACACAATAATAATACTGCCGCCGGGGCGATGATTTTAAATTTTTAATCGCCCGATATACATGGATTCCGGACTTGCGTATATTTATTATTTACTTTGTGCAGTCCATAACTCGCAATCAATTATTTCAATTCGATATTTTTTTCCAAAAATATTTACTGGAATTATTAAGATTTTAATCATGGATTCATCCACACATAAAAATTTTATTAAACAACCATTATTAATATTATTTGTGCTCGATACCTACTTTCCATAAATAAGCAATTTTATATCGCCCTCCCACTTTCAAAGCACACGAGCCGCCACTGCTTTATAAATATAAAGTAATATTTTTTTTTTTTTTTTCATCACGCAATACTCACGCTGTTCTTGAGATTCTCGTGCACGACTTTCTGCAGTCCTGATTCTTTGAGCTGCATTTCTTGTTTCGATTTGTTCTGGTAATTGCTGAGCTCTTTCAACACGTTTGCGTCGTGACCCTTTGCTGCTCGCGTTGTTGAGGTTAGATTTTTTCGGTGGCATGTTATCATAGCACATTGAAAATAAATAAATAAAATAAAATAAAATAAATTGAAATTATTGTTCCTGTGCTCCTACTGTGGCTATGGTAACGTACCTTTTGTATGCAATCATACAAATTTATTAAAAAATTAATTAAAATATTTAATGTATTAAAAAATTTGAAATAAAAACTATCCTATCTTTTAAGTTGGACCAAATTACACGCGGTGTAAAAAATTTCATCAAAATCGGTTAAGTGGTTTAGGAGTCCATTGAGGACAAACATTGTGACACGAGATTTATATATATTAAGATTTATATTATAATGCATCAATATTCAATTATTATAAATTATGAAGTATATTTATTAGTTATATTCCTTATGACCTTAAAACTTGTGATAGATATAAAAAATCCATATTACCCCTAACAAAAATACAAAATGGTCTTGGTTACGTCACTAAAATACCAAGTTTTTCACGAATCAAAAAGAAACCTACATTAATAATTGTATTGTTCTAATTTAAATATAACTACATCGTCTACATCGTCAATTTTCTCTTTTAGATCAAAAGTTCATGTTCGACATGCAACTTAAAGGATTGTCATTGAATTTGAACAATAATAATATTCGTTTAATAACCATCGAAAGTATTTATGATAAAGAATTTAAATATTATATATATTTAAAAAAAATGTACGTTATAACTAATAAATATGTTTAGACGATGTTAAAAACTTAAGCCTACAATATAAGAGTCTCTCTCAAATGTATGAATCGCTACAGGAACAACTCGAAATGCTTTCGGGGAAGATCAATTTTAAGTTCGATCACTTAGAACAAATGTTAAGCCATAATACAGCTACAGCTGATGAATATTATAGAACAAGTGATATTACTGAATACCTGTAGAACATCACATTTTATAGTTCTATTAAAATTAATAAGTAATAACTGTAAACATTGGTTTCTGGTTGTACATTTTATAATTTAATGTTAAACAATTTTTAAACCTAAAATTTATTGCGCTTATTTTCAATAAAACACCAATATACTATTTTAGATAGATATTCTTATTTTTTAAATATTTGCTACAGAACCTCAAGTTACAATTTATTAATAGACAATATGACTCATGATGTGGCCATGTGGGTAGAATTCAATTAAGATATAACAATTAAAATTTTAAATAATAATAGCTTTCATTAAATAATATTATCTTTGTTTTAATAAAATTATTATAAAATAAATAATTGAAAGTTTTTATTGTACTTTAAACGTACAAGTATAAACATCTTTTGGCTTATTTGACATTAAAATGTATTTTACCTATAATAGCAATACCTAAATTTATTTATTTAATGCCAAATTATAAATAACTAGATCTATAAAATTAATAAAATAGTCTTTGAAAATTTTTTTATTAGTCATAACAAGAATAATTAATATAAATAAATAAAAACAAACAACACATTATAATAATATAAAATATAAACAGATAACATTAAAACTTTTAAAATTAATATTGATATGAGGTAACTAAATTCTAACGTGATTACAAAATTTGTTTAATTTATAAGTAGTTTTAGAGATTTTACATTTTCAATAATACTATAAGGCACATAATTACAAGTCACCGAAGACAATAATTGTTAGTAAAAGTATACATAATGTCTTTTGAATAATAAAACCAGCTGCCTCATTGAGTAAGCATTAGTATACAAGTTTTGTAAGTATTAACTGTCGGTTAATTTTGAACATTTATCAAACTTTTTGTAAAGTATATATATATTTTATCGTATATACTGCCCTAAATAAACTTCACATTTAGGGCATTTATGTTCAACATTTAAACACTGATCCATACAAAATGGTATTAAGCATGGACCCCAAAAACACCTGAAAAACAATAAGCAAGTAAGTTTATGTTAGAATAATTTAAACAAATAGCAAAACCTTAAATTAAACAAAAAAAACTTAAAGTTTTACCATGTTTTTAGAAGAATGTATCTATAAATAAAAAATAATACATGTATAAACATTATAAAACATTTATGTGTAGCAGCATCACTTGATATACCTTAAAAAAGCAGTTCCCAGAACGTGAGGAATGGCTCGGCTCGGCTCTCTTAAGAAGCATAAGCACTTAACAGGGGAGGAGCGATATAAATATTGATATTGTAAATATTCACTATAAGTACTAGTACTATACACTAACAATAATTTTTGAGTTATTTATTCAAGGGAGGTGCAATAGAATTTTTTTATTTTTGGGGGTACATAAGCCAAAAAAATTTGGGAATCCGCTGCCTTAAAATATTCATTATTCAATTTATTAAAAATGTTATAAATATAATAAAAATATAAAAACTAACTGTAATAGTTATTGTTTAAAAAAAATAAAATTAAAAAATAGTTTGTTAAATAAAAAAAAAGAAAAGTAGAATTGTTTGTGGTTAAAAGAAGGTTGTACTTATACTTGTATGTATTATTCAATCTTACAAAACAAACAATACAAACAATTTTATGTTTAGAATAATTAATTTTAATGACATTTTTAACATTAGAATGAGTTGGTTTTTAGAAAATGTACAGTACTCAAAATTAGCTTCAGTTAAAATAAAAATAACAACTTAAGTGGGACCTTGGATGATATTTGATAATAGGCCAATTTTTTCTATTGCTAGATGACAGAGTAAAATGGTTTACTCTGAATGTAAATTTTGGTATGATGTGTATTGTATAATGTTCATTTAAGTTTCAAAGAATAAAATAAATATAAATTAAATTAAAAGATTTTGACTTATTCATAATTAAGAAGGAATTAACTTGCATGTTAAGTGTATTTTAGTATAATTCAAAATGATAAGAGTACTGAATTATTTATTACCCAATCACACAACAAAGTAAACTGGATATGTAAGCCATTGTACTGGGTTTCTTATTTATTTTTGTAGTTATCTCTTTCCGGCAATTGGAACAGACCATTCGGGTACTATGGGGGCCAACAGGAACAACAGTAGTAATAAGTTCATACGGTGCTTTCACAACTAAATCAAATAATAAAACTTCAAAATATTAAAAGAAAAAAGTATAATTGGGAATAATCACTTACATTCGGGTTGTGGGGTGTAAGGACTTGCTGGTGAAACACTAGTCTGCTGATTCCATCCATATGGTGCTGTCGGAACAGTACCAGGTGTATACGCTCCGCTCATGGTTCTATAAATACTTAAGTATTGTATAAAAATCAGTAAACGAATATTACGTGTATAATTTTAAAATATATATCGAATACACTTTAAAACATAACACAGTTAATGGCTTTCCATTTTGAGCATAAAGGTCAAACATATGGGGGAATTAGAGCAATTTTGTAGGCCAAATCATTTTGAACACTTTCTATTATTGTAAATTGTAATATGAAATATCTATAAAAACATTCCACAATTACAGAATTAAAATACTGTACCTGCACGTGTTCTATAATTTAATAATTCATATACAAAATAAATAGGAGTCGGACACTTAGTTGTTACATAAACATAAAATAAATTAATAACTTATACGAGTAATTTCACATTTACATTCACGATACGCACCTAATCATAATATATTAATGTTCTAATGATAAAAATATATATTCTAGGCACGTTCATGGAAACATATGCATAATGACTATTTCTTCCAACGTTTGTAATAATTTAAAATGTACAGTTCTTTCTTGTTCGATCGTATATTGAATAGTGAATGTCAATACTCATAGTAGTCGTGTGTTTTTGACGTTACTCTAATTTTAACTCGTCTTACTTTACTACTCAAAAGTTGAAATTATAATATGAGAGTTAACTTACATACCTATTATATAGATCAAAAACTTCTAATTAATTAATATCAGTACGTATATGTACATAGGTATTTCACTATCATTACTGCCTTAATAGGTACTCGTCGTACAGGCGGGACTTTTGAAACTTTTAGAGTCTACACTGGTAGTCGTCAGTACTCAGTTGACAATATTGAATATTGGAGCAAACAGCAAACGACATTATAAGTTTGAAAAGATTGCAATAAAATTTTAAAATGTCCGAAATAAATTTAATCTGTAATTATAAAAAATGTCGTAAGGCTTTAAACACATTTGCATGGGTAACGAGTTGTTCACATATATTTTGCAACAATGATGGTAGTCGAACATTTAATCGTGAAAAAAAATGTCCTTGCTGTAACGAAGTCCTTAATAGACGGTTGGACATAGTTCAGGTTAACTTAAATCCAGACGAATCTTTTAAATCTGTACGTATTTTAAGCATAATATATTAAGTAGGTAGGTAGGTACCTATACTGGCTACATTATGCTTAAAATACGTACAGATTTCAAAGATTCCGTAGTATTTAATTTTATAATTTAGATGATACTTTGTGGCTTAAGACCAGAAGTTGTAATGGACATATCATTACGAGCAGTGTCTTTTTGGAATTACCAAATGACCCAAGAAAAAATTATTCAGACTAGTGATATGAAAAAGCTTCAAGCTAAATTTGAACAGGTTAAAATTAATATAGAAACCATGGAGTATCAATTTCAAAAGCACATTTTAATTGAAACAAAAAAATCTGAGTGCAAGTATAATTTTATAAATAGATGACATTAAATAATAAATATGCACAAATGCCTATTTATAAATAGTGTTAATTAAATTTATAGCAGCTTTGAGAGATGCTGAATTACAAAGACAAAAAACTCAAGAAATAGAAGAGAAACTAATCGAAAAGAATAGAATCTTGCATAAAGTTCAGGTGATAATGAAATTATATTAACAGTTCATAATATGCTCATTTAGATTTAATATTTGTTAAATTTTAGTTTTTAAAATAGCACAAGCACAATAACCATATTTGTAGATATAGTGTCATAATTATTTTAACATTCTAATTTTAGATTAGGTTGCCTTTATTATAATATTATTCACCTTTACTATAATATTATTCTTTTTATTATTAGATTATGGGTTGTATTGTTGCTATTGACTTGTTATTTCTCGGCGCATAGAGTATAATATTATATATTATATATTTTATAATGTCACAAATTTTCCAAAACCATGAAAGATACTAATTTGCTAAATTAACATAGGTATTAAATATTCACATTTCACATTACTTATGTACATATATTTTAATAAAGAGAGAGAACCACTTTTAGAAAAAAAAAAATAAAGCGGATTGCTTGTTCAACAGGTTGCTTATATACAGGTTACACAGTATATTTATCGGATAATCTGTGATTGGTTATAATACAATTTGTGGGGTTAAGAGGAAAACAATTCTACATTTGAATTTAGTAATAAAGTATAAAAAATTACATATTCTTTAGTAAGGTTTAATTATTTGTTATATAGTTTACTATATAATCAATGGTATAACATTATGATATAAAAGAGACAAATTGAATATCTATTAAATAATGGATATATTAGTTTTATACGGAATCATTTTAAAATTTTAGTCCAAGTATGAGTCTCTCAAACTTCAACTTATTTCTAATACAATTAAATCAACAAAAACAGAACAAATTCCTATGGCCCAACTTCAACCTAAAGCATTTGAAGGTCAAACTGGTATGTGTGCCAACAATATTATTTTTCTACTTAAATTAATATTAATTTTATTTTACAGAATTTGTATTTGCACCAAATTTTGATTAAGTTAAATGTATATATCTAATATCTAATTATACTCAGCTAAAAGAAAACACAAAACAAGAAGTTAATAACACTACTTATGCATAGCAACAATTCTTATTTTATATTAATTATTTCTAAAGGTTTTATATTTAATTCTTTATGTAGTTCTTCTATTGGTTGTTCCCATCTTTTTTCAAAATAAATATTTAACATAAAATTACTCTTTAATCCTGTTTGAATGGCCCATGGTAAATAATGTTGAACATACTGTTCTCTTTGCCTAAAAATAATACAAACAGACGTTAAAACAGTACAAATTAGAGTAAATGTGTATCAAAGTTTACTTTGGTTTAAGTCTTATAGCTCCAAAAAGACCTCCACTCAAAGTCATTGGTAACTTGGTCTGAAATGCTTCAATCCATTTTACTGTTACTTCTCCTAAATAATATTAGCATATATATAATTTACACGATACATTTAATATACTCATTTAATATAATATATTTAATATAATCATAAATTAATGTTAAAACAAAAAGTTACCCAACATGTTTGTAGGCATTCCCAACACTGTATGAAATAAATCATGTACTTCTCTATATCTCTGCATCACATATGCTAATTGAACATCATCAACGAATTGTACTGATCCCCGAGAGTCTGGAGTTACTTTCTAGATAATAATGAAACATTTTTTTTACTGAAAACTTCATTGATAGGATGTAAAATATATAAATACTTACATTATGATCCAAAAATTTAAAGTAAGCATATCCAAGAGTATTTTCTGGCATGCATTTTAACTTGCCAAGATCAACTGTTGAAGTGTTAATTCGTGGCTGTAACCTTCAAAAAGTATTATTTTATGTAATTATGTTTGATAAAATATACAGAATAGTGATATCTAGATAATTTTTAATATTTTATACTATATACTGTAATATTTCATTTCCTTCAGGATTATTAATCATTTTATCTCTCATATACTTCAACGCATATATTCCAGTGGTTTCTCCCATAGTGGCAATCATATCTAAAGTACAAAATATAGTTAAAAAAAAATCTTATTAATATACAGTAAAGTTAATAATTTTCTAATTGAAAATATTACCTGCTCTTTGAGGATCTAACAATGAAACAGTTGCAGAACCGACTGATAATAATAACTTTTGAAACGGTGTGGTGGGTATATGATTTTCATTATACTGGGTAACAAAATCAGACATATGTCGATACATCCGGTTATTTGATGAAATTACTTTTTTCAACATTTTGAATAATGTGATTTTTTGAAAAATTTGTTATAAATTATAATATTAATTTTATCTGTTGCAACTAATAATATTATTACTATAATTTAAAGGATGACAAATTTCTTAATGTTCAATTAAAATAATATTTAATTTATCATTGGTTATGATTTATGAATTAACGATATGATAATATTATGATTTATTGACACTATTTTAATTGAATATTGACGGTTATTGGTCAATAGTATTATTATCAAATCTGAGTTTTGCGATTTTGATCAATAAAATTATTTTTAAATAATATCACGGTCTAATTTTGATACTATTTATTATTTAGGTAGGAAACTACTTATATGACCAAAAAATGAAAATAAAAAACGCGGTCTACTCCTTGTAGTACTGTAAAAGTGTAAATAAGAATAACAATTGAAAATAAACGTACTGATTGTACTGTTTTAGATGTTATAGTATACAATATAGTATACAACAAAATAAAATTATGGTTAAAAGGTTTATGGGTATAAGAAGTAAACTTGATGATAAGCATATTTTTAAGGAACCGTATAGGCAACTAACAACAACCTCTAGCTGACGTCACATGTATATATATATATCATTTATACCAGAGATGGGCAATTTAAAGTTACTAAAGAGCCAATTTTTAGAACTTTAAAATCTATGGTGGGCCAACTGGGCCAGAATGTAAAAATTAAAAAAAAGCTAATAAAATGTCAATAAAATTTAAAATTAAAATTTATTAATATTTAATTTTTATATTTATTTATGCTTACAAGTTACAACGTGTTTTAATGTTAAAAAACACAATAAAATAAAATACAGTCTACAGATAAACATAAAAATTGTAAAAAGTAGGTAATTTCAAATGTAGTACAGATCAGATGAAAAAAGATACACGGCTCGCCAATTGCCCACCCCTGATCTATATTATGCACACGATTAATATTTCATATTTTCATCTATATTTTATAGATATAGATATCAGCAGCTCTCAAACTTTTAACGTCCGAGTATATCACCTGATACCTATACATTTTGAAAATGATTACGTTTCATTTAACATCTAATTCTGTTTGTGTTTATAAAATATGTACACATTATCGATTATATATGGGACGTTTTATTAGGTTTGATTAGGAACTATATTCATTTTTTTTTCACATACCACCTTTGAGCTTTTTGCGTATCATACAAGTTAAGAAACGCTAATGTACAAAGCAGTATGGCAGTATGGTGTACCTATGCAGAATAGTGGCAGATCCAAGCGAGGGCAATAGGGTAAATACTAAATACCCCCCCTTGAGCTAAGGTTAGGTTACCCACTACCCTAAAGAATTACGATAAACTGTCAATCGGGGCTTGGTATGACGATTTATTACCCCCTTTGATACATTTCTGGATCCGCTCCTGATGCAGAACTAGAACAAAAGTACGGATCGAGTGTGGAGAACACGCTATACTATAACTATTTTTTCCGTAGACTATGGTAGAAAACCTTGATATACAATTAAATAGATGATATTATAACTTAAGGCTCACTAAATCAGGCAAGTACAGTAATACTACAGTAAGTACGATGTGTCTATGTACCTAGTTTACATTTACACCTACTTTAGAATATGATAGTTAGATACCTCATGGCTAAAAAATAAAATTAACTAAATTATAACTTAATATTATTTTGTATACTGATTTAGAATAACTACTAGACCAAATGTTCAGCCCTATAAATATGTGTTAGGATAAATAACAAAAGCATAGTACGTTGAAAATTATGCAGTATGTGAAGATCATAGTCATGAAGGATTTAAATTAAATATTATAAAACGAATTATATTATTAAAATAATTATAATAGTTGTATTATACTCGACTTTATCCGTGAAAAAAAATAAATTATAAAATACTGTCGGTATAGAATTTTAATTTGTTGAGATTCTGAAAATTTGTATAATACTTTAATTCAAAAAATGTTTAATATTCATACGCTTGAAAATTTTATGAATCATTAAATTTTTATATTTAAAAGTTTAATACAAAACATCATATTAATTTTTACTTACAGAAAACCACAATAATAAAAAATAGAGTTGAGAGCAATTATTCCATAAATATTATTTATGAGCGTCTGAAGTTAAAATTTTAACGAAATTAGCTATTCATATGTAAAATATTAAATAATATGGTAACGACTAATCTAATCATCAAATAATATTTTGTTTTTTATTCTCATTTAAAAGAATTAATCGTAGGTACTCGAAACATTATAAATTAAAATTGTTATTTAAATTATAATTTTTATACTCAATGAAATTTTCAAAATATTTTGAATAATTTTAAGGAATTAAAGTTTTTTTTATAGACAATTGTTATTTGTAGATAATTTTTGGTGTATTTTATTTGTATAAATTATGATAGAATATTTCATATTCAGTCAAAAGCTTGAAAATTTAATACAAGTTATTTCATAAATTAATAAATATCGAAAATACATAACGAGTTTTTTATTTTTTAAGTAGAGATTAAAATTTAAATGTTGATAAAATTTAATATTTAATATAATATTATATTATATTTTAGTTATTTCTTATTTTATTCAAAAAAATATTATTTGCAGTGACTTGAAATTTTTAACCAAAACGCATCTACGTAAAATTAATTTTTAAGAATTTAAAAAAATGTTCTACGATACACAGGTTGTTATTGAATTGAATATTTACGTATCAACATCAACGAATCTCATCCACTGAATATTCTGTATTTCATTTGTTAGGTAAATGATAAAAATTATTAACGGCATAATGACGTCACGGACAGTGAGAAATGTTTCCTGCTATGATTCCGTGACCTCATCCGCATTTTTGTTTAGATCCATACCGATTTGTTGATATTATCAACGAGTTGTTATCGTCTTAACATAATTGGTTGAAAATTATTGTTTACTTCTTCTATCAAATTCCATATTGTGATATGGATGCATTATTTTATAGCTTAACACCTTAATACGTTAATTAATAACAATAAATATTAATTTGTTCTACTCATATTTTGTTAATACATTTAGTAGTATATGATTTATTTTTTAAAATCTTCTTTGTGCCACTGTTGTGTTTAAGTTTAAGTTTGTAATGCAGTGATAAAAGTTTGTTTTCAATTTACATGAAATGTTTATGTGTTGTATTTTGAACGTATTGTGAACGCCTATTCGAACCAAGACTTATAATGTCTGACAATTCAGAAGATCAAGTAAGGCTACATCGTTATAAATAATTTTAAATATTATGTTAAATATTTATCAGTTGAAAGATTTATGTTCACCCAGGAGTTTATTATTATTTTTCGACTTAACGTATAATATAATTACAATGCACTATTATACCATGCACTTATTAGAATAAAACAACTACATTTCATTCGAGCTATTTTATGCATCAAAATGAAGCATATATTAAATAGGGTTACAATTTTTATTTTATTTAATAACGTTTGTACTGTCCTAGAATCCAAGGGATGCTGGTAACATGTGTTTGGAACTGGCTTTGGAAGGCGAAAGATTGTGTAAAGCTGGAGATTGTCGTTCTGGGGTAGCATTTTTTCAAGCAGCTGTTCAAGCAGGAACTAATGATTTACGTACTCTTAGCGCCATATATAGTCAACTAGGCAATGCTTATTTTTATTTAGCTGATTATCCAAAAGCATTGCATTTTCATAAGCTTGATTTGGCATTAGCGAGGTATTTATATTTTATATTTAATTGCTAGTCTTCATAAAAATAATTTAAATTATATTCCTACTTACCTTATTGTTAGATTTGATGCCATTTTTTATGAATATCTTATGAAATTATAATAAACTGGCTTTAAAACACTTGTTTTATTAATGTTTATTAATGTAGAACACTAGGAGATAAACCTGGTGAAGCTAAATCTAGTGGAAACTTGGGAAATACTTTGAAAGTGATGGGCAATTTTGATGAAGCTATGATTTGTTGCAAACGTCATTTAGAAATTGCTAGAGAATTGGGAGATAAAGTTTGTATTATTTTGAATTATATAATTTATAGTTTTTTATTTATTTTGTTAAATTTAAAAATGGTTTTAATAATTTTAATAGTTGAGTGAAGGACGAGCGTTATACAATTTGGGAAATGTGTATCATGCTAAGGGTAAACATATAGGAAGAGTTGGACAGCAAGATCCAGGAGAGTTTCCAGAAGAAGTAAAAGTTTGCATTGAACAAGCTGTTAAATATTATGAGTAAATAATACATTTATACTATTTTAAATACTTATTAGTTATTAAAATTATCTATACCATTTTCTGGTTGGCTTATTTTTTTAATTGTGACTGATTTAGTTTACAAGATGTAATAGTGCTGTCCACTAAACTTAAAGCATAAGTACATTTTAAATCTCAAAAATCTATAATTTACCATTTAAGATAAATTTGTTGTTATTTTTTTGTATAGTATTTATAACCTTTTATCAAAAAGACCATTATGGGTGTTTATAAATTCAAATTATACTTAAAAAATAGATATTTTTGAAATAAAATAGGTAACTAAACATATTGTAGGAAGTTGTTTTATTAGCATATGATTTACTCATTGTTTTGTTGAGCAAACCTATTTATATTATTCTTATTGTAGATTACTTAAATTTACTTAAAATAACATGTGTTAACCTGTAGGGGTCACAATAACAAAATTTGATTTAATGGAAAATTTTATAAGTAATTGCAATAATTGATAAGTATTTTATTTTGTTCATAAAGTGTGTCTAATCTTTCATTGAGAGACTAAAAGATCATTAATAATAAATAATGTATACTAATGTTACTATAATTAATTTTTGCAGGGAAAACTTAAAATTAATGAAAGAACTTAATGATCGCGCAGCTGTTGGTCGAGCATGTGGTAATTTGGGAAATACCTATTATCTTTTAGGTAACTTTAAAGAAGCTATTCAATATCATGAAGAGGTAATATATTTTTTTTAGTTATTTTTACACTGTATCATAATCTAATTATTATTTATGTACAGAGATTGAAAATTGCTCGAGAATTTGGTGATAAATCAGCTGAGCGAAGAGCTAATAGTAATTTAGGAAATTCTCATGTTTTTCTTGGTGAATTTGAAGAAGCGGCTGATCATTATAAGTAAAATTAAAAAAAAATATAAATATTAAAATAATCATAAATAATATAAATAGTAACTATAATATTAAATTAGGAGGACATTGATCCTTGCTCAAGAATTGGAAGATCGAGCAGTTGAAGCACAAGCATGTTATAGTTTGGGGAATACTTATACATTACTGAGAGATTATAATACAGCAGTTGACTATCATTTAAGGCATTTAGATATAGCACAAAAATTACAGGATAGGATTGGTGAAGGTAAAGTATTATTAATGTGTTACAATAATAATAATAATAATAAAAATAAGTACTTTGTCCTGGTTGTTCTGTCATTAGTCATAAATTAAACATGAAATTGTTGGAAATTCGTAATTGTTGCTTAAATATTTCAAAAACCACCTATAAGACTATAAATTATTAACTTTTATTTGCCTAGATTAACAGAGTAAAAAAAAAAATGCTTGCTAATCTTCAGAAACCAAAGCTGATAGCAAATCCTGATTTATCTAGAGGCTTGATTTGATCAAACAAGACAAAAATTGTGTATCACTTGATATTATTAAATGAGACAGAGTATAATTTAATAAATTAAACTTAACAGTGTTTCAAATGTATGTTTTGGTAATTATAAAGATTAAATTATTTTTTATTTTATAGGTAGAGCTTGTTGGAGTTTAGGAAATGTAAATTTGGCATTAGGAAATCATGAAAAAGCATTATATTTTGCTTCCAAACATTTGGAAATATCTAAAGAAGTAAATACTTATAACTTAATTATACATATTACAGTTTTATAAGAGATTTTAATTTTAATTTAGATTGGTGATACAGTTGGCCAAGCAACTGCACAGATAAATATAGTTGATATTAAAAAATCATTGGGTATGTCGAATGGACAACTTTCACCTGAAAGTAAAGAATTGTTGGATAGTATCTCTAATACACAGCCTTCACCTCAACTGCGACGTTATCGGGTGAGACGTCAAAGCATGGAACAGCTTGATTTACTTAAGGTAGTGTGTGCATGTTTATGTGTGTTTAGTTTATGTTTGTCATTGTATTTCATGTAACATAACATATTAATTATGTTTACTGTGTTCAGCTTTTAAAAACAACATTTTGGCAAACAGTGATGTTATAGCAAGTAAACAAGTAGTTCAAAGATTTTAAATATGCTTTTATTTTAAGTTTGGTTGATAATTGATTATTGTAAGTAGGATTTGAAATATTATTTATTGATAATTCTAGCTGACTCCAGACAACAAAAGTAAAGTACCCAGCTCTAACGACAAGATTTATCAGTCCACTTCATCAGTATCCAAAAAGGTATATGATGTATTGATGTATTTTTCTCATTTATCATGTTTATTAATATTTGTTTTATTGTTTTAAATAGTCTGAAAAAACTGAAGATGATCCATTCTTTGATTTGTTATCACGATTTCAAGCTGGACGTATGGATGATCAACGTTGTACTCTTGGTTCTTCGAGAAATTTAGAAGATAAAGAAAATCAAAATGCCAACAAATTAATATCCCAAATTGGTTAGTATATTATTCATTTACTTTTTCTTGTGTCATGTAAACTATCAAGTGACTATTGATTATGTATATTATATATAAATAGAAGTAACAGAAATATGTATAACTAACGTGTGGTTAATAACTCATATTCTCGTTAACCTATATTTATTTATTTTTTAATATACATCATATGTAACAATAATTATAATAGTTAAATTAAAAAGAAAAATGTATTAAATAGTTAAATAATTACATCTGGTCAGTACTATACGTAATACCATGTAGTAGTATATTTACTGGGAGAGATTAGGAAGATGTATTTCTCGCATTTACTCTATTTTGAGCTATTAATCACTTTATCAATAAGTTATAAAATTCTGGGACACATTAGGCATCAAAAATTTTGGTTATATTTCCTTCTTTAAGAGAAATCTTAAATATTCTACTGACATTTTGCTTACTAAATTAATTACTTCCTTTAAACTTCTATTGATATTACATCATTTATTTAGTAATACACTTAGTAGTCATAAGTTAAATTTGGGTAATCATTGAGTTTCCATTATGTTATTAAATTAATTTAATTATGATTTAATTTCATTAAAGTTAAATATTTTTACCATAAAACACATATTTCAATTTAATCGTTTAATAATTATATTTTGTTTTCATAAGGCGGACATGTTGAAAGTCAAGATGACTTGTTGGACATGATAGTAGGTATGCAGAGTAAGCGTATGGATGAACAAAGAGTAGAATTGGAACAACTTCCTGGCATTGCAAAACCAGATAGTGAACCCGATGATAATTTCTTAGAACTTTTAATGCGATGTCAAGGTGAACGGTTAGAAGATCAACGCAGTGAACTACCTGTGTCTAATATTAGTAGTGATGGAGAGTCACAACGTACACCAAACCGAGGACCAACTGTTCCAGATGAAGACTTTTTTACATTAATTATGCGCCTTCAATCTGGTCGAATGGAAGACCAACGTGCAAGTGTACCAATGCCAAAACGAAATTAATGTATACCTAATTATTAAGTATTAAGAATCAGGTTATGTACATTATAAAAATATTTTTGTGTCTTCATATTAGATTTTTTTTTTACTTTAAGAATATTATGGTTATATAATATATATAATTATACTTCTCTGTTAATGGTATTGTTGTATACTTTAATGTAATAATAATTTATTAAAATGTCCATTATAAGTTTCTAGTATTAAAATTATCTTTTTAAATGACTATCGATCATATTTATACGAGTAATTAATTTTAAAGATGAGCTAGTATTATTTGTTGTATTATTATTTTAATAATATAGTTTTATCATCCTTAGATTAAGCTTTTATTATGAGAATTTTTCATAAATTATAGTTAATTTACGAATTGGAAATAAGCAGTAATATTTAAATATTATAATAGTATTATAAATTATATATTTATCAAATTCTATGCCATATTAGTATAAGTAAAACATAGTATAAAATAATTAGATTTTACAATACAAATTTTAACTATATTTATTATTTAAATTAATTAATTTTTTTTTTTTTGAACCTGCACAAAACAATATTATTCTAATAGGTTAATACATAAGTTAAACATAATAAAGTTTAATTTTTTTAAATTCTATTTATTGTTTTTAATTTTAACAAAACAAATTATAAATTGTGAAACAAATAGTTAATTGATAATACTTATTTTATTTGTAATATGTATATTTTGACTGGTATAGTGGTATACATAAGTTAACAGTATTTATTTAATAATTGATCTTAATGCATGTGAATATTTTGCATACCACATGTATCCTGTTGAAATTGCTAAACCATACCTGTAATAATTTATGAAACAATATATTTTATTGCATATTCATATCATAAATTATAAATACTAATATTTTACTCATATTTTAGTATCTATTTTAAATCATAAAAGACATTTAAAAGAAAAAATGTATGCAATTTTGTCTACTTCTTCACTGTGAATACATATAAAACAGTAGTCAAGATTCAAGAATGGCAACGTAGTGTTAAAATAAATAAAAAATTTGATATCGGCTACAAGATTGAAAGAAGTATTTTAACAGAAACAATATATAGATTAATATGTTACTAAGAAAATTTTTTTTTTTTTTTAAGTCAAATTTACAATACATATTTATTAAACATTTCAAAATTGGCTTTATACTTTCAAAATTTAACCAATTTTAAGCTTGTTACACTAAGTTACCTCCTGAACAAATGTAAATTAATTTGATAAATAAAATTAAAACTAGGTTTCAATCAAGATTAGAAAAGTCAGAATAATTATTTATGATATTTATCAATATTAAAACGTAAACCATATATGAAAAATAATTCCTCTTACCATGTAATAATGTAAGAGACATGCTCGTTTCTCAAAGAAATATTTGTTTGACCACCAATTGGACCTCCGGGAACACTACTCTCAGCCACAGCATCAATCATAATAGGTTCGCAGTCAACTAGTTTTGACATTGCCTCTAAATCTCTATAACAGCAAACCAGTACTAAATCATTGCTATATACATTTAGTTTAAGGAACTTTAATTTGTCAAACATTTTAAGTATATTTTCCAAGTAAATTTAAACAGTTGTGTCATAAAATATACCTATAAGCCCAAAAACGAGAGTCTGCAACATTCTTAGTTACAAATTGAGGTCTAGATTCAGTCAACCGAACGACACCCTCCAATTCAATTTCTCCAGCAACTTGGCCAGAAACTCGAGATGCGGGATTTTTATTTTTCATAGATACCCAACCACGGTTCACTAAAATTGAGTAACTAAAAACAATTACTATTAGAATATAACTAAAACAAAAGTAATGAAAAAATGTCTTACGGTCTATCTGATAATTTAAAAGGTGTTATAACATAATAACCACTATTAGTAGATCCAGATCCAGAAAACAATCCATTGCTATTCTCAGCTCCACCATCAATTAAACAGGATCTAGGACCCAAGTACAACTCCTTTGAATGATCAAATTTACCTACCACTTTAATTCTACGATATTCAAGGTTTGTAAGTTCCTTTTCGCTATAAAAATTAAAAATTTAAATGTAATATTTCACTATTAATAAAATATTAAAGATTCTAACTTTTCAGGAAAATCCAATGCAGGAAGTTTGGTTTTAGATTTAAGTTCTTCAATTAGATTTTCTTTCCATATTTTTCGTTTGACTTGCCATGTACCCAATCCAAATGCAGAAATTGGTAGTACCTGAACATTTATAATTTTCAAATATTTCCTATTTTTTATTTAATAAAACTAAATTATAAGTAAAAAATTTCAATCTTACTAGTAAAATCCATCCAATATCTGTGTTACTTTTTTTCCGTCTACTAAATGAATTTAATTCAACTGATTTAGTTGTCATACTTGAATTTCTAGTCAAATTTGTTAACTAAATAATTTAAAATACATCAGTTAAATGTTTATAATTCATAAGACATTGTATACAGTGTTTTAATAAGAATTGTAGTACATATAGAAAAGATGTATCATAGAATTGTATTATATTAATACTTTCTATATTTAATTTTAAAACATTGAGAGATTATTTAATTATTAACAGTTTCTGATAAAATATGATGATCCTATAATATTGTTTAGTGTTAATCTTGAAGAAATATAAAAACGGGTGTAATAAAGTTCCAGCAAGAATCAAGATTTGAGGGTATTTATACTTTTTAATTTTATATTTAGACACAATTAATTTACTATTATTAATGAAAACATAACACATTAAGCAAATATTTTAGAAAATTCCATTTTTGAATCCAGAATTAAGTTTATTTCAACTCATTTTTAATTCAATGAGTAAAATAATAGGACTGATTGATTTTCAATATGAACCTTTTTTCAAATTAAATTAATAATAATAATTATTATTATTATTATTATTTATTAGCTAATATTGCATAATAAGTAGTAATTTTTCACATTCATCTATATTTTTAAAAGTAGCATGAATATTTTTTTAAAAGAATTGTTATTAATAAATAACGCATTTTTCTTAAAATATTATAAAGCAAGTTATAATAAGTCAACAGTTGTTGTACACTAAAAATATAAACTTACATATAGTTTGGATGAAGAAAAATTCTGTTTCACTAAAAAATTTGAAAAATATTTTCCATAAATCATTTTGAACTTTGATAATTTTCAAGTTTATTAATAAATATATTATTAATATCTAATTCAATATTAATAGATACTGGAGACAAAAAATGAGAAGGACAAAATGGAAAATATTATTTAATAATTTAAACCTATTTAATAATAATTAATATAAATTTTTATATTATTAATTTACTATCTTTTTTATTTGTTATTGTTGTTATGTGTTATCAGCAAAATTAGTATCATTGTAATCTAAGCATGGTAAATAGTAAACACTAAATTTTTCAAAATATAAACTACTTTTTTCCTTTTATTTTCAAATTTCAGTTTATTTGTTAATTCACTCTTCAATGTTCCATTGAATATAAATTCTTCTTGTGTTTGTTTATTGAATGAATTTAATTGTTTATCATTTGTTAATTATATTTAATAAACAGTTGTCAGTTAATTAAGACAATCAAGTATATAGTAAATAATGGAAATAGAAGAAGAAAGTAATAGCAATATAAATCATTTTTTTAATTTTATTTCTCTAAATTAATTATTATTTTATTGAAATTGTTGAATTTTGTCTTGAAATCAAAAAAACTAAGTGTACTTTTTTTTCAAAAATATATTAGTTCTAATTTTTCAAAACTATTTTCAATCTATTCAAAACCAGATTTTAAGAACAAAATTATATCCTTTTATTAATTTTTTCCATTTAAAGCACTTTTAAATTATAACAATCTAAATTCTATTATAAAGTATTATATTATATTTAAAAAAATTTTTATTCTAGATAAAATATCAAAAATAGAACAAGAATTAAAAGAAATAAATGTTAAAATCATCAAACTTCAAAAACGTAAAACTGAATTATTGGAACAGAAAGAGAAATTGAAACAGTTATCTTATCAAAAACAAACTAATTCTATTAGTGACCAGAATAAATGGACTCATACAGGTATTACAAATATAGCATAACAAAATGCAATGATATATCATAATAATGTCACAATGTCTCAATCATTCATGAATTTTAATTTTTGTAGATTTTCCTTGGCACCAAAGAGTAAAAAACACCTTAAAAACTGTTTTTAAATTAAATAGATTTCGTTCACAACAGTTAGCAGCTATTAATATTACATTGTCAAAACATGATGCTATACTTATTATGCCAACTGGCGGAGGAAAATCTCTTTGCTATCAGTTGCCTGCTCTTATAGATCAAGGTATCTATTATATTATTATAATTTATATTAATACATTCTGTGATTAATTTTCAGTTTTTTGATTATTTTTTTTTTTTCATTAATTTAAACACTACATTTAGAAAAAAATTATTTATTTTATCAAAATAAAAAAATTTTAACTTCTATTTTGAGCTATATCCGATCATGTTTAACATAATATAAATTAATTTGTACTTATTAAAATCACATTATATTAATGATACTCATTTATATAACACCTATGTCAAAGTAATAATATTAATTATTACTTATTTAATTTTTTTATATTCAAAATGTTTTTTTATTAATTTAATGTTTTACTAGGTTTTACTCTTGTGATCTCTCCTATGGTTTCACTTATGGAAGATCAGATAATCCAAATGCAAAAACTTAATGTTAATGCTAAAATGATAAGTTCCTATTCTTCAAAAGAAGATTCAAAATTATTATTTCAGGTATAATATTTATTTATTATTTATTGATATTTTAGATTTTAATCTAATTATAGATGAATGTATTAATTTTATTTTACAAAGATGTCTTTTTTTTCATCAGATTTACTAAATGTTTATGTTAGTATTATATATACATTGTATAGTTAATAACAATAATTGTAACATATTGTTTCTTTTTGAGAAATTTATAGTCATTTGATATTTTTTATTTTTTCAAAAAAGACAAAATAAAGTTTTTGAATACTAGTTTTACATTAAAATTCTCATTTTTTTTTTTTACTGGTCACTTCAAAAATTACTGAGATTTTTTACTTTTGATGCCCTTAAAATACCATCTAACTGGATTTAATTTTCTATTAAAAACTTAAACTTCAAAGTTAAAAACCAAAGTATTTTTACTATACCCAAAGGTAACAAATGATGACAGATAAAAAAATTATATTTATTTGTAAAATCAATACATTTATTGCTCTACTCAGAATCTATTATTTTGTTTTTCAGATGATGATTGACATTAAATCAGGTTTAAAACTTGTTTATTGTACTCCAGAAAGAATAGCTAAAAGTAAAACATTTATGAATAAATTACAAAAAGCTCATAGTTTGAAGTATCTATCAAGAATAGCAATAGATGAGGTCCATTGCTGTACAACTTGGGGACATGATTTTAGACCTGGTATTTTATTTAAAGACATTTTTGTAATGTTGAATTTAATATATATTTTATCATAGATTATACACATTTAACAATTTTCAAACCAATGTTTCCTGACATTCCTATTTTGGGTCTCACAGCAACAGCATCTTCTAAAGTTATTATTGACACTCAAAAACTACTGCAAATTCAAGGATGTGCTTTACTTAAAGCATCATTTAACAGACCAAATCTCTATTATGAAGTAAACAATATTAATAATTTTACTTCAATTTTTATTTAAAATTTAAAATTATTTGTTAGGTTAAATGGAAGCCTGAAGGTAAAAAATGTGTAGATGAATTAGCATCATTACTTAAAAATAAGTTTAAAAATCAATCGGGAATTATTTATACTACATCTATTAAAGATTGCGAAAGCTTACGAAAAGATTTGAAGTAATATAGTTTTAGATAATTAAATTTATTTATTTTAAATTTTTAGCTTAGAAACTAAATAAGTCATAAAAATATATTTCATAAATTATTCTATTTTTTTATATATTTAAAATGTTAACATAGATTAAATTTATTTTATTTAGAGAACACGGATGTAGAGTTGGCGCTTATCATGCCCAACTAGAAGGACCTTTAAGATCAAAAGTTCATAATAAATGGTTGAATGGTGAATATCAAGCAGTAGTAGCTACTATTGCGTTTGGGCTTGGTATAGATAAACCTAATGTGAGATTTGTTATTCACCATACTCTATCAAAATCAATAGAAAATTTTTACCAAGTAAGAGAAATAAAGAATTAATAATTTTATGCAAAATTGCAAAACCTAATATTGTATACAATTAGCTATGTTATTTAATTTAATTTAACATTATAAAAAACAATTAATTATATTTGTTATAAATAAACATAAAATTTATTAATATAGGAGAGTGGTCGTGCAGGAAGAGATGGAGAACGTTCTACTTGCTTATTATATTATAAGTTAAGTGATGTGTTTAAACTAAGCACAATGGTGTTTACAACACAAACTGGGTTACCTAACTTATACTCAATGATAAAATATTGCTTAAATGTAAAAGAGTAAGTTCAATAATGTTTAACTATTACCAGAACGCACTGTAATTAGAAATATATATAACCATTAACCAAACACTAAAAATCAACATTTACTATCTTGGACCCATAACCACTTTATCATACTACTAATTTGAGTATTTCAAATTTAGTTTTTACCATCTTAAACTGATATCCACTCATATAAAATATGTTATAGTTAAAAATATGAAATCAATATTTAGTGCCTTTCTCTATTTGTTGATCTGACTATCTTGTCGAATTATTGATATATTTTTTTTAATTTATAGATGTAGACGCAAATTAATATCAGCTCATTTTGACGAATCATGGGAATCAAATGATTGTAATGCAATGTGTGATAATTGTTGTAATTCTAAGACTGTAAAGTCTATTTGTATAAATAAATATTGTATGGATATATATAGCATATTAAATGCGGCTATAGAAAATGATGTAAAGTTTACATGTATGTCTTAAATTTAACTAAAAATGTCTTATGTATACTTTAAAACTTAATTATTTATTTTCCATAGCACAAATGCTTTTAGACACCTGGTATGGTAAAGGTAACAAAAAAATATTGCTGTTTGATGTACAGTCTCCAGTATTTCCAAAAACACAAGCCGAAATGATTCTTAGTGAACTTATTGTACAAGGATATTTAATGGAAGATTTTCATTTTACTCCGTATTCCACTATTTCATACATTAAAAAGGGTAATTACTAATTATTATTATAAACTCAATGATTATTTTATATATTTTAAGTTAAAATCTTCTGTTTTTATTTATAGGTCCAAATCATTATAAGGTAACAAAAGAAAATAACATCTTTATGGAAATGTCCCAAATAGAGACCAGTGAACCAGCATTAAAAAAGTTTAAATCAAAATAATTTATTTAAAGTTGATTATTTAAACGCAATTTTGTTGAAATAAATCATATTATATTAGTTTCTTTAATAAAATATATTTGTTTAAAATTAATAATAATAAGTATATAAACAGAATGTTCTATAAATACTAAAATTAATAATTTTAAAAAGTTTTATGTTATTGACTTATGGTACTTTTCTTACTAAAAATATGGGTTTTACACTCAGCTAGTCAAACAGTGTTTTGTGTGGCCATTTATTGATACTGACTGTGGAGAATTGGTATAGGCATGCATCGAATGTCAGAAAAGAAAAATGTTGTGTTCAAGAATCTCTAAACCACGGAATATGTATTCATTCGTCATGACGCCCCCAAAACTGGATTGAAACTGCCCTATGATGGTTTTTATCGAGTTATAAGTCGTAATGAAAAAAACTTTTAAAATCTCCAAAAAACTGCTGTGTTTCAAGTATACATTATTCTATTAAACTAATTCAAACTTTGAAACACATAATTTTGACTTTTGTATAGTAATTGTCGGGTAATTTGATAATTTGATTTTTAAATAAATAACGATTATCTTCTTAACACTAGCCATTTGTATAATAATATAATATGTCCCTAATGTTTTCTAATCATATATATAAATTGATTCATGTGACCATGCCAATCGATTAATAATTTTAACTAAAGCTTTTGAAGTTTTTACATTATAAATGCATTTTTGTTATTTAAAAAAATTAAGATCTGAGCTTTAGTAATAATACTAGGTACATTTTTTATTGTAATTTGTATTAAAAATTTATTTTTAAAAACTGCTTATTGATGATATTTAGATTATGGGTATGCAAATCTGCTTTTACTGCAATAGTAGGTATCTATATGGGCCTGCAGGTCTACTTAGTACTTTTTAGTATGACCCATGTAAAACCATTTCTTATAGTAAACATTTTAATGACTTGGAAATATTCATTAACATTTTTAAATTAAGTAGGTACTTACATTAAAATTATCTATGAAACTAACAACTACAAAAATAAATTATTAATTTAGAGTAAAAAAAAAGGATGTTTTTATTTGAAAAAAGTTTAAATCGCAACAGGATCATCCTTCTGTAGAACAAAAATGTCTTAGGGTTAGGATTATTCTATTTTAAATAAAATAAAATGTTGATTTTTTTATCTCGAATTTGTGATAACGTACTATCACTGGTAATTAAATTTCCTTTTTTTCCGTGATAGAAGCAAAACATAATAAATAAAATGTTGATAAATGATAATTGAAAATGTTTAGTGTTAATGAAATAGATAAGAAGTTCTGTACTCAAATCTCTGATGAAAGATATCTACATAAAAATTAAAATAATAAATTAATTTTTAAATCATAGAATATAAGAAATTAAAATCACATACCCGAAATTTCTGTCAGTTTGTTTATTTCTTAATTTTAATAGTTCTACTGTAAAAAAAAAAAAAATGTTAAGACCTAAAGTGTTGTCTCAAGTTCTAAGTCAAGCCAATAGCAATGGTGTTGAAAACACTATGTAAGTTGAAATGTATCTTATTCAAAATAATATAAATATGAACAATAATTTACTATATAATCATAGTATATTATTTAATAATTTATACTTGAAGATTAAAATAGTTGTGGAAACACAGTATTTTTAGTAGTAGAAATTTGTGGTTTACTTGAATTTTCATATTTTAATTCTAAAGAAAGATTAAATTATGTTTGATTTTGTATAGATAAAAATGTGAATGGAACTTCTATTGTAGGATACAAGTTATAGACACTAATGATATGTATTTAAAATTGATTAATTGATGTGTAAACACAATTAATTAATTTTACATATTATATTGAACTATTCAACTGAATTACCAAAAATAATTAAATTTATGACTTGTATCCGTATTGAAATCTTCTGAGATCGTAATTGAATAATAGTGCTGTTATATAATAATTAATAATTATATTTTATATTGCTATTTTTGGTCTCATGACAAAGGCTATTGACATATGATGGAAGTTTATTGGCATTTAGCGGTTATGGTGATAGAGATTCAAGCATCACAGCTATAATTGCAGCTAACTTGTGGAATACTTATCATAAAAATGGTTTAGCTACTCTAAAAGAAGATCAATTACAACTAGTTCTCATGGATTGTACGGTAATAAAATAGAAAAAAATAAAACCTTATGTTTTATTATAAATCAAATTTTATTTTTCCAGAAGTAGTATTTTCATTCCACTTCCTATGATCATATCTATCCTATATATAAAATGTTTCGCACACTCAATAATTCATCCATAACTTAATCTAAGTTTTCCTTGTATTTTGATCATTCTTATAAATATTATTATCTCACACGTTTATGTATATTACTTATAATTGCAGTCAGCCATTTATTTAAATAATATACCATTAGTTATATATCTAATATTTATGAACAATTCTTTACATTAATATTCCCTAAATATTGTTTAATAATTGTCAAAGTTTGTGTTAGTATGTGTGGTTGTTTCAGTTTAAAAGCTGAAATAGAAAAAAAACATTTTAATTATCTTGCATTAAATTTTTTGATACTTCTTACAAATTACAATTAAATGATTAATTCCTTAAATGACATTTTTTAAATTTTAATTTTATCAAATTCCCTATCTATTTATAAGGTTATTCAAAACTTATTAGACTATTTATAAAAAAATGTTATTTTATTAAAAAACTTTTGTTTTGATCAGAATTTAAATTAATGTTAGTACTGTTTGATTATTGCAGGAAGGCAGAATTGCAATTAAACAAGTTGCCAACATCTTATTATGTTTGTATGCAAATCGATCTGTAGAATTTGGTTTATTAAAAGAAAAAATAACTGCTTTATCATCATACTTAGACGGTCCGCTCAGGCAACTTTCAGCATCTTAATACACACAATCATATACTATAAATATATTTCTTTAATTGTTTAATAATTTTTAATTATCACCAATATAAATGTATATTATGTTCATAAAATTTTAAAGTAATATATATTTAATATTAGTAAATTCAATTTTTTTTTTTAGTAAGTTTTTTATTTTTTCACAACTTGTATAACATCTTCATCGTGCATAATATGCTGCAAACCCACTCTTTGAGGTGAATATTTTGTACTTGTGCCCTAAATATCAAAAAAATAAAAATACATTTTTTACAGAACTATAAATCCATTAAATACATACCCAAACTAAAGCATATTTAAATTGTTCTGCTAATGTACGATGAATTGAATGACAAACGTGTTCCACTGTAACACCTTTTCTTAAAATTAAACAATCATCGAAATCAGGTGGTTGACCAGGCTTTTTAGTATACACTCGAATCAATGATAAATATTGCCATAGTATTTCCAGTAAATAGTCAAGGTTCAATTTCATATTACAGCTAAAAATATATTGATTAATGTGTATTTTATATTTTTAAATAGTAAAGTATTGTTATTATTTAAATAAATCATTTACACATTGTCACTTGTTTAGTACTTTAGTAATTGTCTACACAAAATGTAGTTTAATTACTTCCTATGCATTTTTATTTGAACTAAGTCAAGAAGGATATATATTATATTAGAAAATTGTAAATAAAGAGAAAAATGTTTAGCAAATGATTTTATTATACCCATGGGTTCAATATATAAGCAGAAGTAAATTTTTAATTATAATTATCAATTTAAATAATTTAAATAATCTAACATATGTTTATCAAGTATTTTGGGGTATATTTAAACTATTTTATTTTCAAATTAATTAGATTTATAAGAAAACAAAAGTTATTGCCGAAGTAGTATACTAAAAAATAATGTTGGTATCTATTGTAAGTAGCATAATAAATGAATATCAAATGTTTAATATATTATTTTAAACTGACCTAAATAATTAATACTTGTTAATACCTGACTACAACACTATTAGGTTGTCTGGCAATCCTGTCTACTTCTTCGATAGATATTTGATCAATTTTGTTGTAGACATACATACATGGTAGATAAACACGATTATCAGAAATCACATCAATTAGTTCATCAGGTGTACAATCTTCTCGAAATAGAACTTCTGCATTAAATATTTTATATTCATGTAAAATAACTTGAACAAGTTTTTCATCAACTCTGGTTAATGGGCAAGTAGCATTGAATGCTAATCCACCACCTTTTTTTATCTATAATAAAATATATAACTATTATAAACAGACAACAAAGCATTATCTTAAAAATATTACTTTAAAATAAATATTTGGCTTTCGTTTATTTAAACGTATTCCAACACTTTCCAGTTCTTTTTCTAATAACTGACGCTGAATGTCTTGCTTTGTAGCATCCAACATCATCAATACTAAATCAGCAGTTCTAGCAACTGCTATAACCTATTATTAAATTATATATGCATTTATTTAAAAAAATAATAATAAATATATTATATTTAAGTCTTAAAATTTTGTTACCTGTCTACCTCGTCCTTTTCCTTGGGATGCACCTTCAATGATACCAGGTAAATCCAATAATTGAATATTGGCATCTTTGTATTCAATTACTCCAGGAATACAAGTTAAAGTAGTAAATTCATAAGAAGCTGCTTCACTTTCTGTATGTGTTAACGTACTCAAAAGAGTAGACTAAACAATAAAAATTATAAACACGATATAATTAATTAAGGAAAAAATATCTAATATAATGTACCTAACATAATAAACAAATATAATATATTCATTTTAAAAGTATTAATATTACAATTGATTGTTTAAGTTTTGAGGGGGATGGATGAAAAGGTCAAAAATATACTGCAATTATACATACTTTACCGACAGATGGAAAACCTATCAAGGCTACTCTAGCATCACCAGACTTCAAAACATCAAATCCTTCTCCTTTTTCTTGTTTTTTAGATGGTTCCAATAATTGAGCACGATACTTAGCAAGTTTGGCTTTTAATAAACCCAAGTGGTACTCAGTAGCTAAAAATAAATTAGGGTAATATTGTAAATGTAACTAAAAAAATTTTTATGTAATGAATAAAATTAATCAAAATCAATTTTGACAGTAAAAATTATTTTACCCTTATTTTTTTGAGTTCTGTTAATTTCTTTTTCAATTTCCGATATTTTTTCGAGAATACCCATGGTTTAACAAATTCATTAACGTAAACCAAAATCAAAAATACAAAATTTATATCTTTGATAAATAAAAACTTAAAAAAAAAATTAAAAATGTAACAAAAAAAAAAAAAAATGAAGAACTTAGAAATTTAGAATTAGAACCCTAACCTCACCTGCTATATTCCGTATAGATACTATAAACGTTTTAAATATATTTTATCAAACTTTGATATTAAATATTTATCATAATAATACTCTTTCTAAACATGATAAAATGATAACATTTATTTTGCTTACATCAACATGCTTATCGCTGGAGTGTTCTGGTTATCACTAATCAGTAACCGAACTTCAAAACATGGCCAACTTTAAATTTGTAAGATCTACAGGAATATAAGTAAAAAAAAACTTGTATTTAAAAAAAATGTTAAAAAAGTTTAACAGCACCTTAAACATTACTTATTATGTAATACAAATCCATAATTTCAGTAGGTAATTTAGTTTTACGTGTAACTTAGTTTCAACGTTTAAATCGTACACATAATATTATGTATGATATAATTTTTTTTTTAATGAGTGATCTTTAAAGTGTGAGCTGAATGTTTCTGAAAAAGAATCAAATTAATTTGTCAGTTTTATTTAAAAATGTGTATCAAATACATTTCTGCGGCTATTCAAATAAAGAAGTAATCAGTAGAATGAGAGTATTAAATGTTGCTGAAAAAAATGATGCTGCAAAAAACATTGCTGGGCATTTGTCTAGTGGCAATCTTCAAAGAGTAATTAACTTAAAATTAGTTTTTTTCCACATTGACTAAATAGGTAGTGCTTAATTATTTTATTTACATTTCAGAGAGAAGGTTTTTCAAAATTTAACAAAATATATGAGTTTAACCATACTTTTCAAGGATCGCCAAGCACTATGATTATGACATCTGTTTCTGGTCATTTACTTGGGTATGAATTCCAAGGCTCATACCGTTCATGGACATCTTGTTCTCCTCTTGAATTATTTCATATTCCTGTTGTAAAAGAATGTCCAAAAGACTTTCTTAATATTAAGGTTAGTAATACCTTACTCTTTTCTTATAATGTTTGTATAAATTAAACACATAAGTAGTTAAAGACATATAAATGCATAATATTCACTCGATACAAAAAGTATAAAAATAACTGAAAATTAATATGTTATTTGATTAAATGAATGCATTTGGAATTTAAAATATAAAATTTAGACTTTATAAATCATGTCCGTGTGTGCCAATAACCAATATGTTGCAGTTTATCTTTAAAATAATAAATAATATTTATAATTTGGTTCTAGAAAACATTAGTTCGAGAAGTCCAATCATGTAATGCATTAGTGATATGGACTGATTCTGATCGAGAAGGAGAAAATATTGGATTTGAAATAATTAATGTGTGTAGAGAAGTTAATCCAAGAATTCAAGTTTATAGGTATGTTGTGTTTTTGACTAAATTTTTTTTTAAAACCCAATTTTATGTTTATTTGAATTAATATTGATTGTTTTAGAGCTACATTATCAGAAATTACTAAACCGTCAGTACAAAGAGCTATTAGTAATCTTGGACCTCCAAATAAAAATATTAGCGATGCAGTTGATGTGAGAAGTGAATTAGATTTAAGAATTGGTTTGTAAATACTTTTTATTGCATTCATTTGTTTTCATTTTCCTAATAGTTTTCAAAATATTTTAGGTGCAGCATTTACTCGTTATCAAACAATGCGTTTACAAAAAGTGTTTCCTGAAGTATTAGCTAAGAGTTTAATAAGTTATGGTAGTTGTCAATTTCCAACATTAGGATTTGTGGTTGAACGGTATAAAGATATTCAGAATTTTATTCCTGAAAATTTTTGGAAAATAAAAGGTGTTAAAAATGTATAAAATAATTTCTATAATGTATTATTATTGATATATGTGTACAATATATTTTTAGTTCATCACAAAATTGAAAATTTGGATGTAGAATTCTCATGGCAACGAGTAAGGTTATTTGATGAAGTTCTTTGCAATATACTTTATGAACGTTGCCAAGAAAATCCAACTGCTTTGGTGTTGAAAGTAACTAAAAAGCCTAAATCTAAATGGCGACCAGTACCTTTAGATACTATTGTAAGTAATTCTATCTGAATATATAGAATACTATTGTATCATCATTAAAATATATCTTTAGATATGATATTTGTTATGTTTAATGCTATTCATTTTATAGATAACAATTTTGTGTTACAAATAATTAAATTCAAATTTTTTATTATTTATTATCCTATTTAATATAATCATATTGTGTAAAGTTCCATTTAAAATACAGTTTAAAAAAAAAAATCAGTTTTTACATATATTTACCTATTTATGGATGTATATTAAAGTAATTAATGTAACTTTTTACATATTTGTAGGAGTTGGAAAAAGCTGCTAGTCGTAAACTTGGAATAAACGCTAAAGAAACTATGAAAATTGCTGAAAAACTGTATAGTCAAGGTTTTATTAGCTATCCTAGAACTGAAACTAATATATTTCCTAAAGAATTAAACTTATCAAATTTAGTTCAATTGCAAGTACAAGATAATAATTGGGGTGGTGAGTGCTTTCTTTTTACAGCAAGATTTAAATAGTACATTGGTACTCATAAAATTAAAAATAATTTAATTTGCTTAGATTTTGCGCAAAATATTTTAAACAATGGCCCTTCACCTCGACAAGGTAAAAAATCTGATCAGGCACATCCTCCAATACATCCAACTAAATACACAAATGGACTTCAAGGTTTGATATATTCTATCATAATAATAATTCTTTATTAACGGAATAAATTCCAGTTACAAATATTCTGTGAAGTATAGCGATTGTAAAGTAATGCAAATGTACATATTATTTTTAATAATATAATATAATATTAAGTAATTATGCCTATTTAAGTGAAAATGTTATACAATTAATATTTAGATAACTAGAAAACTTATCAAGTGAACAAATCAACATTTACTATAATATTACCTGCAGACATAACAAATTTAGCAGGGCTGTATAACTCATATTTAGTCTTAGCATTTAACAGATAAGATATGGGTTTATTTCTGGAGTTAATAGGATTAATTTTAAAGTTAATTGATCAAGCAGTTTTAGACAATCAATCATAATATGCAATAATTTTAATAATAATTTCAAATTTAATGTAAGGTATTTGGTTTATTAAGAATCAATTTAAAAAAATCATCTATTGTATTATTTTTATACCTACACCTTTTTTGTATGTGATTGTTTATTTTTGATTAATATTAAACTTTTAAATGACATGATAATTTTATTTATTTAACCACAATAATTAGGTATGTTATGTTTATCATACACAATCTTTGGCTTTCACTTATCAAATAACTTTACTAAAAGGAGGTAAATCATGTCACAGAAAGAATTTTGAATTTGTTTATATTATTCTAAAACAATACTATTTTTTTTAGTAAATCACAATGTTAATATTAAGTATATATAATTATAGATAGAGAACGTAAAGTTTATGAATATGTTGTGAGACATTTCTTAGCTTGTTTATCCAAAGATGCTGAGGGTGAAGAAACTATTGTAAATATTGAAATAAACGGAGAAAAGGTAATTTTGTATTTAAATATATTTATATGTTGAAATATTATTAGTTATTATTTAATTTAATTTTATATTTTTTACATAAGTTTATTAGTTAGTGTCTAATTATAAATGTAGAATATTTTTGTTATAGTTTTTAGCGAACGGACTTCGAATTATTGCATTGAATTACCTAGAAGTATATCCTTATGATAAATGGTCAAATAAACAGATCCATAATTACAACCAAGGACAATCATTTATGCCTACTAAAATAGAAATGATTGATGGACAAACTAGTCCTCCAAATCTCCTTACAGAAGCTGATCTAATTTCTTTGATGGATAAACACGGCATTGGTACGTGTACTCTTAGTTTAATATTCTTTATATTTATTTTTTATTTAATTGATAGTTTATAAGAAAGATAGTTATTTATAGTAAAGAGCTTTGTTAATCAAAATAATTTTATCTTAAATATTATTAAGAATTTAATTTATAAGTTAACTCTCATTAAAAATGATTGTAGTCATAACTTAATTGAGAACTATTGTAATAGGTACTGATGCTACGCATGCCGAGCATATTGAAACTATCAAGTCACGTTTATATGTTGGACTAGAAAATAATAAATACTTTGTTCCTGGAGAACTTGGAATTGGTCTAGTGGAAGGTTATGATAATATGGGTTTTGAGATGTCGAAACCCCATTTAAGAGCTGAACTTGAAGCAGATTTAAAAAAGTAATAAGTTATTAAAAATACTATGTTATTTATTATTTTAAGATTTAGAACCTATTTAAATTTATAGAATATGTGAAGGTACCAAATCACCTTCAGTGGTACTCAGAGAACAAATAGCTAAATATAAAGAAGTATTTATTAAAACAACAGAACAAGTATGTAATTAATCGACCTACTTAAAATTGCATTTTTAATGTGGCTAAAATATCTTGAACTGTAGGTAGAAAAATTAGATCAATCTTTAGGAAAATATTTAAGAACACAGCCTATTGCTTTCCAAAATAATGGTCAACATGAATCAATGACAATAAAGAATATTCGCAAATGCCCTGTTTGTAAACTAACTAATCTGGTATTAAAAAAAAAACAAAACAATCAAGGATTTTTTATCACGTGTACTGGCTTTCCAACTTGTAGAAATACATATTGGTTACCTCCTAGTGTAATTGAAGCACAAGTCAGCGAGAATGTTTGTTCCCAGGTACCTTAATAAGACAATTTTTTATATATATTAGATGCAGTAAATGATATTTTATTAGAGTGTTGTGTAATATTTTAGTGTTCAGGAGATATAAAATTAATTAAATTCCAATTCACTGCTAGAAGTATGCGACCTCATTATCCAGATACTTACGAGGGTTGTATAAATGGGTGTGATTCTACATTGAGTGAGATACTTCAAGTTAACATGTCTCGTCCTTCATCTTCTTCTTCTTCAAGCACCCAACCTTCTAGTAGAAATATTGTTACAACCAATCAAAATAGGGGTAAGTTGATTTCAATATTAATTATTTGTATTTTTATAATGATGTGTGAACACAATCACTCATTAATTATTTTGTTAAATATTTCAGGTCCTAACCGTGACAATAATGTTCCTCGTCCAGCAAATAATATTTCCAGGTTTGGGAGTTCTCAGAATACTCAGCCTCTTAACAATGGTATTTATAATCACAATTTTATAATTATTTATTAAATTGTTGACGTAACAATTTTTATTTATTATAATTCTTATAAAAATATTTTTTTTTAGATTGATACTTGGGCTTAGAGTTGTATAAATATTTTTATTAAACAAATTAATTGAAGTTTTATGTTTTATTAATGAGTATTCTAGAAAATTTAAATAATTGAAACAGACTAGATTCTATGAATATAATTTTTAGAAATATAAAATAATTTTATTTAAATAAAACAAAATCATTGAATTAACATTAAAATATAGTACCATAAATATTTTTAATAATTATATAATTAAATCCAGTCTATTAAAATTAAATATAATTTTTTTTTAATGTTGGATTAAGAGCAAGTATTTATGCAACTACATTTAATTTTTGTGAATGGTTTTATCTCATAATAACATTGATAATAATTTGAACAATGCATTTCTTAATTATTTCCTAGATCAAGTTTGCTGTCAATGTGGAAATGCTGCTAAGCTGTGAGTGTTTTGTAACAAATATAAAATTTATATATTTTGATAAATTGTACCTATTATTTTAGTTAAACATTTTTGAAATAATAACTTTAACTCAGTATGTAATTATCAATCGCATAGTTTATTAAAAAAATAATATTTTTAAATAAAATATATAGAATGATAACACAAAAAATTGTTATTGTTAATTAAATTAAGTTAGTTTAGATTGATTATTAATATAATTTATTAATTTTTAGTTATTAGCGTTATGTTATGATGTGTACTTATTTTATTTCATTAGATTAACAGTTACTAGAGAAACACCAAATAAGGGACGTCAATTTTATGGTTGCTCAAAACCAATTTCTGTAGCTGATAGATGTACTTTCTTTTTATGGGCAGACGACCAACCTAGGCCTGCTGCCAATCATCCTAATATACAATTTAACAATAGAAATAATGGTCAAAATAATAATGGACAAATGAATAATTCATATAGAGCTAGAGCTGTAAACAGTTAGTTTTTATTTTGTTTTTGTTTAAAAAATATTGTTAAATACTTATTATAGTATTGATGAACATTATTTATGTTTGTAGATCACTCTGGCGGACAAAGAAAATGTGGACTTTGTAAGCAGACAGGTAAATATAAATTTTATGTATTTATTTCACTTATTATGTAAATTGGAAAATTTTTTAAATTATTTCAATACCTATTCTAAGTATATTATGTGCTTTGTGTTCACAAAACATTCTTTTTTGTAGGTCATACACGAAGAAACTGTCCACGGAATTAAAAACAAATATGTATGTATATTTATTTTAAATTTTATTTGCTCATATTGTTATACTTACAAATAAATATTATATAATATATTTTTATGTATAAAACTATGAATCAATTTGAAATTCCAAGTTTAAAAACCCTGGATAATTATATTCCTTAAACAAGGAAAATTTAATTAAACACATATATGTGTTCAAATAACAATTTTTACTTGTATATTTTGGTGATTTGATTAATTATTTTTAATACAAATAATAACTAATTTAAATGAATAATACATTTTAGTTAGACCAGACCATTCACATCAAATTTTCTACTTAATATTTCTGTTGAACCACATTATATTACTGAACATTAACAACACGACAATGCATTATAAAATATAAATAAAATTTAATATTTATTTTATAAAGTTATAGCCATTAACCAATTATAATTTATTTCTATCTTAGATGGTTTATAATGGATCAAATGTTCTTTAAAATCGTGTTTAATTATTAATTATCTAAGATGAAGTGACAGTATATCTCTTTGTTTTTTAAACTGAAAATTGTATTAAAATTAATTAAACGCCAGATGCTAAACCTCATTTAAAAATCATGTTTGATTATTAACAGATGTTGAAGTATGTGCCTTTCTTTTATTATTAAACTCAAGGTTAAACCAGTACTTACTACATATTACCTAATAACCAATAAGAATTAACAGGTGATAAACATTTTATATAGAAGCTTTTAATTGATTTTAAAATAATAATGCTTATATTTTATTATTTTTATCACCTAAATAATCAAGAACATTTTTTTTAATAAGTCATATATTTTTGAATAAAACAGTAACAGTCATTAAAAAAATAAAAAAAATAATTTATTGGCATAAGTAAATATACATTGTTTGTTTGATATTCTTTTTGGTACAAAAACAATTTTATAAATATACATAAACTATACATAATTTAGAAATAGTTTTGGTAGTTGTTACCTGAACCAGTATAATCAACAACCATATTTTTTATAAATTAAGTAAATAAAGTGATGTACAGACCATTATTAAACGCTAAAGTTCTGTTGTTATTTCATCTTGTGGTCTGAAGCCAAGAGTGAAAAAATCATCTTCATCAGTTGCAGTTGAGTAACAATTGTAGGGAGGCATTTCAGCATTCCACTCAGCTACTAACATACTTTTAGATGCATTTGCTTCTAATAATGAAAGAGAAGCAGGACTAGTGGATCGACCAAAAGTTGATACAGTCTTTTCTCGCAGCATTATCACCTCATCATTCTCATCTGGATGTCTAGAGAATATTATAATGAATATTTAAATATAATTAAATGAATGTAAATAGTGCAGTTGATTTACCTGTTATGATCATTATAATTATCATCAAAGACTGAGATTGCAAGTTGTTTAATGCGAGATGGTGATGATGAAGATGCTGATAATGGTCGATGTTTTTTACTGTTTGCAAAAGTAGTCAACTGAATTGGTTTATCACTAAAATGTTCATTTGAACTTGTTTGAGAAATCTGTAAATATTTTAAATTAATTACCAAAGAATAAATCTATTTAATAATAATATATACCATTATAGGATGTTGTTTTTTGTATCTTCGCAAGACTCTATCACCCCAAGCCAATAAAATTTCCCAGTCAGAAGGCGGGTTCAAAAAACAGTCTTCTTTGTTTAATAGTATCAAGATTCTAGATAAATCTTTTAAGACTGGTCTAAAATGAAATGTTGAAGTGTTGTAATATAAATTAAATTACACTAAATAAAAATTTAATATATACATACCGATATGCTTGAATAGCAGAATGTTGTCGGCTAGGACCCCTAAGTTCTCGGACTTGTTTTCTTGTTTCATTTAACATGGATAAGAAAACTGGTGCATCAGGTCGTAACTTTTCCAACTGTTTGAAAAACTCTAATCTGTCACAGTCATCACTTTCTATAAAACCACATCAAAATTTAAAATTCAATTAAAAAGTAAAAACAATAACAATAATAATAATAAAAAACAATACCTTGGCTTTGATGAGAACCGCTAGTTAAGGGTCCCAAACTAGGTGACATACGAGATTTTGATCTAATATTTGAACATTTTTTAAATTTTATTACCATTCCTACAACCAATAAAATAGTTGAAACTATAAGAAATCCAATAAAAACTCCAACGGTTATTGTCGCAACTTGACCCGACAATTTTAAATTTCCAAATATAGTCTTATCTAGAATAAAATTAAAAATTAAATCAATATTCACATAACCATACAGTATTTATTTTAATAATCTATATACAAACCAGTTATTGAGCACACGCGGCCCATTTGATGATAATTTGTAGACCATGTATATTCATACCCTGATGGACAAGTTTCAGCACATTGACCTGTAGCCACAATCAATACTTTCCTACATTTTTTACAAAGTCCATCGGTATCACATTTTAAACAGTCTGAATGTGTATTGTTACACTTTTCTATTGCACTATTATTATCTAAAAATAAATAATTTAAAATACAATTAACAACAGACTAGGTACATTTTAATATTGTAACGGCAAGAAACATAAGTGGTACGGTTTACTTGCCTGCATATGAATATACCGCCTCTGCAATAATAAAAACCGAAACGATTACCAGTTTTATTTTTCTTCGGATCAAACTCATAATTTTCGCTCATTTTCATTTCCCGAAATCAGGATGGTGAGCACTCATAGTCGGTGGACACGAACGCTTCATTCATCTATCCGTGAGTATTGTACGACTATAATTATTTTGTTGCCGATTTAAAACGATTTCCCGACTACCGTCGCAGAAATAAACACGTCTAATGAGTCGTGTGTACAAATAGCTCGTCTACGATTATTTCGTTACGTAAAAAAATAAATAGAATAAACGTAGGCACAGCGTTTCCGACTCACATCCTACATATAATATTATTATTATTATTATTATTATTCATCTCGCTATCTACATTCTACAATAGCCTACATGACAAGACCGTCTCTTTCATACGCGTACATGACACATGCAATGCAATTTATCATTTATCATTCGTATACATATACGGTTGTATACATTTATATATATATATAATATATAAGCACAATGTTATTGTACAAGAGAATTTTATTATTGAGAGATTTGTTGTTTTTCCACATCTCCAGATTCCGTTTTTCAGTTTCACTACCGACAGTGTTGGTAACACTATGCCAGCACTCCGAAGTGGCTAGATGATAATAATAACAAACAACAACAAACGACAAACCGAATAAGCCGACGACGTTGTTGATAAACTTTAAGCTTTGAGCTTGATGATTTTATTGGTATAACTCTGTTAATTAACAAGTCCTAATAAACAATAATTTAGTTTAAGGATTACGATACATAGCTCATCACGTTACATTAACATGCCGTTTAATATTTTTTGGTTTGCGGTAGTCAGTTTACTTACCCAGATACAGCCTCACACACCGACACAATAATTTTATGAATTAACTATAGAGTTTGGTTATTATTAATTTTATACGTTACACTTTAGTAATGTCCGCTTGAAGTGAGTCCCAGGTTTTCGTTGATACTGCGTTGTGTGTACACGAATCATGGCTTCGGCAGATCTAATAAGCTTGAATAAGACTTGGGAACTTTCGTTGTATGAACTTCATAGAACACCGCAAGAGGCAATTACGGATAGCACAGAGATTGCTGTGTCCCCCCGGAGCTTACATAGTGAATTGATGTGCCCAATATGTTTAGATATGCTCAAGAAGACTATGACCACTAAAGAATGTCTTCACAGGTACAAATAAAGTTAATCTGTTAAAAATAAATTGTCAATAAATTATCATACTGGTTTTCAGATTTTGTTCAGATTGTATTGTTACTGCTCTCCGTTCTGGTAATAAAGAATGTCCTACCTGTCGAAAGAAATTGGTATCTAAACGTTCGTTACGTCCAGACCCAAATTTTGATCTACTAATATCCAAAATCTATCCTAGCCGTGACGAATATGAAGCCCATCAAACCAGAGTGTTAGAACAATTGAATAAAAGCCATAGCCAAGCAAATCTAGTGCAATCTATAAATGAAGGTATCAAAATTCAAACACAAAATCGTTTACAGCGTACCAAAAAGAATCAACAAGATGAGCTCAATGAAAGTAGTTCTTCGTCTACACCAAAAACCCCATCTAACAACTTTGGGCTTGGCAAAGATAATGTTACTAGAACAGTGGTTCAAGCAAAAGTGGCAAAGAAACTTAAAACAGTAATGATTTCTGAAAATGATGGTCCAGCATCATCTTTGTCAGCTGACAGATCAGATATTACTGAGTGTGATGGCTCTTCAAGAGGAGTATCAGTAGATGAAATTGAATTGGTATTTAAACCTCACCCAACTGAAATGGGATCTGATAATCAATTAATAAGAGTGTTGAAAGAGAATTCTGTACGATATATTAAAACTACTGCAAATGCTACTGGTAAATCTATTTTATTTTTTAATTTAATAATAAGAACTTTAAATATGAGGATAACTAAAAAAGTAAAAATAATAAAAATTTATTTTAATATTATTTTAATAAATATATTGATAATTCATTTTTTATTATTTGATAAAACACAACTTATTATTGAACAGGTGAATTATGAGACCAAATTAATTTCTCTTTAGTAGCTTTGTGTCTAAAATATGAGCATTTCTTTATAATATATACTCTTATCTTTAGATTTTATAGTATATAATTTAGAGTGTAAGGTAATAACAAATAATATGATTTAAACCAAGTGTAGTAGACTGTGGGTGTCTGCGTTCGGCTCTAAATTGACAAAAATTAGTGGACACTTAAAATTTTTTACTTTAATGCTGATTTATTTTTTAAATTATTTGTACACCTTTAGAAACTATTTACTGACCCTTTTTTTTAGATCTAATTATTATTATTACTGTTATAAATTTTAGTATAATATACATAATAAAGCGACAATATTAAAAAACTAAAAATGTTTTTATAATAATTAAATATAGTTGTTAATTATAGTAAAAGGGGATGGTGCGTCAAAATATTTCAGGTAAAATGTTATTGAAAACATTTCTAAAATAAATGTTGACTGATCTAGGTGATGATGATTGTACTTTTAACTTTCATCAATTAAATTACAATTTATAACAACCTAGCCTTTAATGTACCTCCACTAAAATATTGTATAAAATTAATTATAATAAAAAATTAATATTTATGATGATTACTGGTAAGGTTATAATAAATTAATTTCTGGGGACCCTAGTCCATAAAAAAAGTATACCATAAGAATCACGGTGAAATTATATTGAATATAGTGAAGAAATTTGATGATAGGCTAAAATACACACAACTTAAAATTTTAAGAAAATGGAACTAGAATAATATATTTTTATTTAATTCAATTTAATTTTAGTATTTATTAACTTTATTGTGATTAATAAAGTAGAACCTTTTTGGTTGAGTACAATTGTTTTGGTATTTCTTGTTAAAGTTATTTTGTAATGGAGTATTTTGACATATAACCAAGTAAAAGTGTAATTATCTGAAAAATTTAATTATATAATATATTATTTTGAGAAACTTAGTTACTCCAATGTATAATAAATAAATCTTATTAACTTGTCTTAAGTCATATTTTGATCAAAAAAAAAAAAAAATGTATAATTGTTAACTTATTTAAAATATTATTTTTTTTTAGTTGATCATTTAAGCAAATACTTAGCGATGCGACTTACATTAGATCTTGTTCCGGAGCTTCCAGAACGGGCTCTAAGCTTTTTAATCTATGTATCACCAACATCTGATCAATATGTTCCGTTAAATGGAAATCAGACTTTGCGACAGGTTCACGACAAATATTGGAAAGTGAATAAACCTCTAGAAATGTTTTATTCGTTTAATTAAGTTATGCTTAACTATTTGTTAACTATAATTTTTTTTTACTCTTTTCTGCCTTTCAAATAGTATTAATTTTTAAGAATGTTTTTATAAATACTGTCTAATATAGTGTTAATGCCTATCACTTAAATATATATATAATATTTATTATACTACTTGTATTCGCTTTAGATTAAAACAGTGGTATACATTATTCAAGTTAATAGTGAACCACTCACTAACGCAGACTGAACCATTTGAATTCCTCAAGTGGTAACTAAGTGCTTTGTTTTAGGTTGTTATCATTATATTATGCATATACATACTGGTGATTGTGGTAGGAACTGTTTATGAGTAGTTATACATTGACACAGCCAGATTTTGTTAGTCAAGTGGTTTATTGTTAACCTGAATAAAGTACAGAAATAATTTGCTTAGTGATTTTTGGTTGATTTAATTTAGTAGAGCTATAATTGAATCAGTTTTATAAGCAATCGGATTTGTATCAAAACCCAAACTTTTGTAAGAATTAAAAAATGTGTCGTGGACTAATCGGTTTCTACAATTTTGACTAGTATTATAAAAAAATAAAAAACCGTTTGTAATGGTGGACAACTCAGAATTTTCTTGAAATTTGTAGATCTACATAATATGAAAAATCTTTAACTCTAAAGAGATATCATTGTTTTGGATAATCCAGGTTTCTCAAAAGACTGATACAATTTTTATTGCAAAGTTTTCAATTGATACAAGAATAATTGTTAGTTTGATTAATTGTGATTTGCTTAAGTACTATACGTAACATGAAAACATTACTAATATTGTGTTTGAATAATTATATCGCCATAAATTTTTAACTCATTCTCTTCCTTCTTTAGTACTAATACAATTAAAAATTTTGCACTCATCAACTAAAAATGCACAAATTTGGAGGATATTCTTTTATAAGTAATAGTATTGTAAATACATACATATAGTTGGTAGTTTGATTATTAATTTTTAAGAAATTGCTTTAATTTATTGTAAGGCTTTGAAAGAATAGCTTATTGTTTTCGTCTTCCTAACTCGTAACATACTAAAATATACATTTGGAATTTCCAATTTTGTTTTTTTAGCTTTAACTTTAGAGTGAATTTTTAATACACATCATGTTGAATCATAGAAAAATATCAGTATATTAATTTAAAATTTAATTCTATGAGTGTGACTTGTTTTACTCTACACATCAATACATTAATGTATTATATAATATTTATTTTACATTATTTAATTTAATAATGACTTCCTGCTCTAAAACCTTTTGCATTTTAAATATGTAAGTATTTTTTAGCATAGGTAATACTACAAAGTTTAATAAAAAACTTTTAAATAAAAATATTAAAAATAACAAAATAAAATTCATCATAATCATTCAAATTTATTTATAACAAGAAGCTATTTTTAATTCAGTCTTCAGCAATTAAAACTATTCTTATTTTCATTAATTTATGTATTTCATAATTCAAATTTTGAACTTTACGAAAATAATTGTAATCACTAGTTTATAAATTAAATTATTTCAAAAAAATTCATAATTTTTAATTAAAATAAATTAATGGTTATTAAAATTATAGAAACAGAAATTTAAGTGACTATAAAACAATCTAATGTGTTATAAATATATACTCAAATCAGATTAGTATATATTAAAGTATATAATTAGTATTATATTTTAAAAGGTATATTCAATACAATATTTGTATTTGTTTTATTTCAGAGCTTTAGCTTTTTCTTCTTTTAATTTCAGTTTAAAACACTTTGCTTCCATTTCTTCAAAATGTTCTGCAAATATCATCTTGAGTGCAGGATACATTAATGGTAATTTGTGTAAGACATTTGGTGCAATCTGTAAATTTAAATTAATTTAATTTTTATATAATATTTATTTAATTGAGTGCATTAAAATATATAATAAAATAAGTATTAATAAATTTGGTAAAGATGTAATAGTAATAATAAAAATATATTTTTTTTTTTTTAAAAGTCATATAATATTATGTATTGTAGAGATTTACTAATTAGTTTTGATTTACTTTTTTATAAACTTTATTTTTGAATATGGATTACACAATACATACAATATTGCTGCTCCAAATCATAAATATGGTATGTTTAATAAATATTTAAATTTTTAATATTTAGAAAATAACCTAATTAATTATAAGATTAAAACTTATGATGTCAGCTCCGTATCTGTCGGTAAATTTAATCTTAACGTTTTACCGTCATCAGAGAACTATTATTTTAGGAACATTAAATAGGAACAGTGATATTTATTACTTTAAAATTCTGTTATTTTTGCGTTCCAATATCTTATTATTTAAATAAACAAAAATAAATTAATAAGATATGAATAATACCTCCATATTATCAAAAGCAATTCCAACATTACTTGGAAGATCATTATTTGGCATGTATGGAATTTTTGCATAACGCTGACTAAAATGTGTGAGTATTGTAAATTTAGCATTCATTTTTTTGCCAATATTTATAGCTTGAGACATAGTTGAATGCATTTTCCGTCTAGCTTCAACCACTAACTGATCTTCCATTGTAGCTTCATGTATTAAAAGATTACTATTCTTTCCTAAATAAAAAATAACAAAAATATTGTTATTATACATTTTGACTTATTGTAAAATTTTTTTTGTTATTATAAATATTGTTTTCTATTTACAAACCTAATTTGACTAATGAATCACAAGGCATTGTATCACCAGAATACGTTACTTTCCAACCATTTGTATGAGTAAATGATACACCAAATGCATTAGGACAATGTCTTACTAAAGTAGTTTCTATGTCTGACATATTAGTCTGTTTTAATAAATCTTTTATTCTTAACTTTGTTGACGATTCAAAATCCTTAAAAATTTTAATATTATAAAATAAATTTAATTTTATGTTTATTTTAACAATATAATAAAGTAATTATTATTTACCAAATCTGAGTTAGACACAATTTGAAATTCTTCATTTAGTGCTGTAAATCTTCTATGATAAAAATTTAACCAAGTCATAATTTGTACAGGTGCTAATAAATATACAGGCTGATCCAGTTTAAGCAGTCCATTTGCTTTCATTTGTTGACGTACGCTTAATATTCCAATTAAGCCAATATGATGGTCCGCGTGTAAATGAGATACATAAATAGCTTTTAAGTCTCTCAATACTGTTTCAGCACCAGTTACACCAAAGTGTCGTACTAATTGTCCGTATGTTCCTTCTCCAGAGTCTAACAATACACATTCGTTCTCACTAGACAACATTTAAAAATAATATTTCTTCATACAAAAATTAAATAATTTCATACCCAGTGTACATTAGAATACCACTAGTATTTCTCGTTTTACTTGGTATACATGAGCCTGTACCAAGAAATGTAATTTTAGGATAAATGTTTGTATCTGTAGGAGAAGCATTTAAAATGTCCTGCTTTACTTGAGCTAATTTTTCTTTAAATCCATCAACCTTAAATGTTTCTGCAATAAACTCATCGACATCTAAAATTAAGGTGCTAGACCTAAAGTTTATTAATTAATAAACATTTGTAATAGGTGATCAGTAATAAGTTTAATTACCTGTCTATATATTTGCATGGTCTCAAATTAAATGATAAATTGGTTTGTCCATTTATTGTTATAGAATTTGTGTCGATTATTTTTTCTTGTTGGTTAATATCTAAAAAATAAAATAACAATTTGAATTTTCAACCTAAACCAATTTTTATCAAAATCGATTTTTTTTAATAACCATTTAAAAAATAAATAGCTGTAAACTTGAATTTTTCAAAAAATCTTTGTATATGCATCAAGACATGATAAAATTTTTAAAATATTTCAGTTCTTTTAAGCAGTTAATAGATATTTGAAATTTATTTGTTTTTGTTTTTTATTAGACATATATTGTAAAAATGTTGTTTGTGAGTAAAAATAAGAGAAAATTAAACACAAGCTTCTATTTAAATTATTGCTATAATTAAATTTTTTTGAAAATACATAGGTATTCATGATTTATTTTGATAAAAATTATTGAAAAAAATCTGTCAAGTCCACAAATATTAAAAATAATATTTAGTAGTTAAAACTTTAACACAACATTTCTTATAAATGTTTGTTACCAAGACTTTATTATTTATTTAATGTAGATCTTTATATTTTATTATATTAGTTTTTAAATCAATAAAAATAACTTTTGCCAAATCCCACTATAGTTGACTAAACTTTAAGTTGATACTTTTTATAAAAATAATTGAAATTGGTATTATACATTTTAAATCATTAAATTATTCTTACTAGGAATGCCATTGTCTTTTAATAATGGATAAATATTTTCATCTAACATATTCAGCTTATACTGTATTCTATGTATTGCAGTACTACCCAGGCATTTATTTTCATTATTTAACAATAAATGGAATGTTTCAGGTGGAAATAATTTCATCCATGATATATATCTAAAAAAAATAATTATTAAAGTTATTTCTTTTTTCAATCATGTTTGAATAATAGGACTTAAACTCTAATTTAATTAAATTTTAATAATTTATTACACTTGTTACCTTGGATCGTTTCTCACATCCTGTGGAGTAAAATGAATAACCATAAATGCAATATCATCTTCATTAATAACACCACGTTGGTGTTTTGAAAAGATTGACTCATTCAATAAAGAGTCAATATAATCTTCACTTGGACATTCAACAACTAAAACAAATTAAACTGAAAATGTTTAGGTAAATTATATAAACAAAATAAGCTTAATATTTTAAGAGGATAATACTCTAAACTATTTTATATCTATTTAACGAACAAAATCACAAGTTTATGGTTCTGAAGAATCAATATAATGTTGTTATCTTAAATATTAGAATATATTGACAGATTATCAAATTTAAAAGTAAGAATATTATCTAAAGTACCTGATTAATTTGTATTGATATTTAAATTTTTAAGGAAGATATGAGCATTAAAACATGTATTACAAAAACCTACAGTAATAAACATAAAATCCCAAAACTAATGGCCTATATTGACAAAGCATAATCAGAAAAAAAAAAATTAAAATTAAAATAAAAGTTAATAAAATTTTAAATAATATTCTTACTTAAAGTTTTAATAATAAAATTTGTATTACTGAACTCAATTTGTTATTTTGTATGATTGAGAAAACAGTTATGGGTAAGATATAATAAAGAAAAATGTAAAATTCATAAAATATTATTTAGTCCTTTAGTTTTTCTCTAACTATGAATGAAATATTCAGAATTATCTCTATTTCATGATTCAAAGAGTACCTATACCAACCACTATTTAAAATTTTATTTATTAATTTAATATTATGAAATCATTACTTATAGATTTTCTTATATTATACTGCAATACCTTACCAATAAAAACTGGTCCTGGATCATCAGGAGATGTTACATCACTTGATTTAACTAGGGTTCCATCAGATAAGGTTATATCTTTACCAGATTTTAATAATCCCAATAATGGTCCAGGAGGAACATTATGATAAACACATTTGTCCAAATCTAAAACTCCTGGTTTTGGTTTAAGGCGACAAACATATGACATGGCAATATTACTAATTCTACTCAAAGTACTATCAGTTATAAATTTTTTATCATCTGAAATAAATTAAAAAATATTTTATGATTTTATTAAAAATTAATTTTGTGGCATAAAAATACCATAATTAGCTAGCTAACCAGTTCTAGGTTCAGAATTGCTTCTTTTACGTTTATTTTTTTCTTTTTTATCTGATTGTTGTATATTTTCATAGTCATAGTAATTAGTATCATCTTCTAAAGTATCATCAACATGTTGAGCCTGTGAATTATTTATTTCAATTGAGCTATAAAATAAAAATACATGTCATAAACATAAATAGCTAATATTATTATAAAAAATTTGTTACTTTTCGGACATTGATCGAAGTTCGTCACATCGTTTGTTTGATATCAATGGCACATAATGGACAACTATTGCATTATCTTCATATGGCGTAAAAGGATCACTTTTACTAGCTGTAATTTTTAGATCTCGTAATACTACAAATCTTTTAGTAGCAACAAATAATTCTTCCTGTAAAAAAATAATAAAATTTCATTAAATTCAGCATTTTAAACATGAACATATTAATATTAAGTATTATATAATCACTTTAAAGCAATAAGAAACTAGCTTTTGAATAACATGATTTGATCATTAGTTAAAATATCTATTAAGTTTTATAATATAAAAAAATAGTAATAATAAGCTAACTTAAATTGTATTTTTTATCCATATTTTTTTCATGATCACATAATTTTAATCAACCACAAATATATTATTTATTATATTGAAAGAATAGTAATCGGTAACATCAAATAAACACTAACTATTCCTTGTGGTCCATGCAGTTCTATGTTTGGTACACCAACATCTTGAACAGTTAAAGCTAATCCTGGTAAACCGCCAATATTTAACCAATTTGAATGTGTGATAAACACATGTTCCAACTTTGATAGTTTCATTTTATGTTCATGTGCCAATCTTTGTGTACCCTCTCCACAGTTAAAAAGGTACCTAAAATGAGGGTATGCAAACAAGTTGAATTTCAATATGCATAATACCTATTTAAGAATAATATAAGATAAAAATATATTACCTAGAATGATCTGTAAACAAATATAAGCACCTTGGAGCACCATTTGCTCCACTGCCAAGAATTTGAATTTTCACTATACCCGGTGGAAATTTGGACTTGCTTTTGATTTTAAATTTGTTCTGTTTACCAGTAGCAGTAGATTGTGAGATGTTCTTAGCCATTTGTTTTAGTATTGTATTTGGATTGCTGAAATAAAATAACTGGCAATTCGTATATATAAATTTTAATGGTAATTTGTCAAATAATTTAAACGACATTAATCGGTAGATTAACTTTGTAATTTATCAAAATAATTAAAAAGAAGTAATGTTATATTAAGTATTAACGATAAGAAAAAAAATTGGGGTTCAAACTTCAAAAATGTGTTTTACAAAATAATAGGTAATTTGGTATTTGGTATTCGCTACATTTGATAATCGGACGTGAACTCCGTTAAACCACAAGACTACGGGAGACGTGTTTAACCTATGGTCATTGAATGATATGGTTCTAGAGCATAAACGTGTTTGCGTAATAAACCTTACCGTAACCTAACATTACTTATGGTTTGAGGCTGCGATGTTAACAATATCGATTTCGATGATAACCAGATAACGAATTGTTATTTATTTGATTTTCTTGTGTATTGCAGAACACAGATATTATGATAAATTGTAAAATGTAAATAATTAATACTATTTTATAAAAAACAAAATGTGTGTTATGCTTACAAAATGTCTATAATATTTTCAACTTGTAACAAATTTAATTGTTATACATTTTCATAGTTCAATGCTTACTGTTCACTACATTTAAACGAATTTGTTTTTAAATTAAAAGTTCCTAGGACATAATTATTCGTATACACTGTGTAACAATTCACTCGATAAACATGGACGTAGATCTTTTACGTCCAGGCATGATACCCATTGCACCAAACACAAAACTTTGGTTTGAATTTCTCATCGAACCATCTCTCCTCGAAGAACATTTGAACAAATCTCATGCAGGTATGTGCCTTAAATAGTGTCTATTTATATATTTTCTAATTGATGCAAATCACTAATGTCTACAATTATTGATCCATGAGTTTATAAAAATCTATTTTATTTAAGTAACCATCAAGCTTATCAGTTTTTAATTGGTTAATTCTCACATAGTTTTAGATTTATGTTCAATGATGAAACATGTTTTTAAATGCATATTGAATTTTGGTATATTTCATTCCAAGTCTTATGTGTTTTGTGTGGTTAACACAAATTTAAAATATTATAGTTTAATCTTAGTGAGATCTATCATCTGACACTTTGTAGGACACACTGTAGAACCTCCAATTCTCCCAATCTAGAAAATACAGACACACGCATAAAGCGTTGTATTTCTATTTAGTTTATAAAATTATTCTTTAAATTAAATAGGCATCTACAATGTATTCAAATGTCCTACATACATGAAAATTAATCTTATTTTTTTTATTCAAAATTCACTTTATGAAAAGTTTGGTTTTTGTTTTGAACAATACATGAAACTTTTTTTGCAAATATAAATAAAATAAATATTTTTAATAGCAAAGTTTTATGATTTTTTACATAGTTACTTATAACATTTCTTTGATACAGATCCTAGTGCTACAGAACTACTAATAAAATTTCTTTATTCATCCATGGAGAGGCCAAAAGACTTGCCACTGATTGATATAGATGAATTAATGGACAGCTCAAGGATTGACAAAAAACTTGAATATCGCAAACGTAAAAAATATGAATGTTTAAAAATATTGGCTATGAAAATTGTTAGTTTTTGGGAATGGGACCTAAACATTTTAGAAACTAGGTAATGTTTTTTTTGGTTGATAATACTTTTTGGGAAATACTTGTTTAAATTTTAAATTTACATACATTTATATACTCGAATATCTATTATTTTATTTATTAATAAAATTAATTTAATTTATTCAGGGTACCAATTTGTCTTCAGGTTATATTTGTTCAAGATCTTTTAGGTTTAGTATCAAATGATATTAATTTAATTGAGTTTGAGTCTCATAGTGCGATTGAAGATTTATCACAGCTAAAAGATGAACAAATTTTTGCTATTGCACTATTTCATCGATGGACATTAACTGTTATTATAAATTATACACTGTCCAAAAAATCATCATTTACTTTAGGTCCTGTACAGTAAGTTTTATTTATTTATTTACAGTGTTTAAAAATTCTCAAAATATTACCAAAACCTTTTTGTAATAACTTTTGTTTACACAAATAAAAAACTAAAATATACTACATATACTTATCATCATATTATTTTTAATGTTGAATTAGAGATGGAAATGAAGATGTTTTATCAAAATTAGAAATGCAAAGTGAACTCAGTGAAAAAATGTTGTTAAGACTTTTAGATTTAAAAAGATCGTCATATACAATACCAACTATAAATACATTTGATCCTCCTAATGAGTTAAAACCATTATCTTGTCATTGGTTTAAAGGCCTAACTGTGTCATCAGCTGAATTTCTTTCTCAGGTATTTATAGTAATTATATTTATTTGTATTAAGTATGAAATATTTTTTATTTTTAACCTTTATTTAGATTATGTATGATTATGCAAAATATAAATTCTTTAAAGCACAATACGAAGAAGCTGGTATTTATTTTAAAAAATGTAAAGAATTAAATATGAACTTAACATCAAGTTCTTTCTATAAAATAAAATTAGAAGAGTTAAATGGATTCTGTGCAGCCTGTTCATCTGAAATAACAGAAAATTCTAGTTTATTAATGCAATTTTTGTACTCCACTCAAACTAACTATAATGTAAATACATTATATTATTATCATTACGTCATATTCATGATTTTTATATGATTGATTACAGTTATTTATTATTATTGTTTAACAGGGAATTCTCAGAATTTTAGAAACTGATAACCAGATTATGGAGATTCCAATGTTTTTAAGAGATTCGTTGGAACTTGATTTGGCTTCCATGTTATCCTTAGGGAAATTCACTGCATCAAGAGATATGTTACTTCATATACATACATTGAATGCTATTCGAAGAGCATCAGTAACTTCTGGAGAAATTGTGTTGTTACCTCCTGAAGATTATGTTACTAAAATTAAATTCAATCTGAGAGGTCCGGATATATTTTTAAAGGTAGTTTATAAATTTTTAATTAAAATCACAGTATCATTTATTCAGAATACTAATAATTTCAGTATACTTAATTCAGAAAAAATATATGTATAGGTAAATTGTTTTTGATTACTATACAGTTAACTTATTTTTAATTTTGTGTACAACAAAAATTGTTCTGTCTTGTTTTAGTGTGTCAGATTTAGTTTTAAAATTATAATCAAATAAAATTTGTTATTTTTTTGGTATTGCTTAAATAGCTAATTTTGCAATTTTAATTAATTTATGGTATAATACATGTGAATGTGTATTTTTTACCTCTTGGCCTACTTAAAGCAATTGGGAATGGAAAATTAAGAGATGCTTTTAATTTTTGTAGTGAAGCACAAACAAGAGAGAGGCAAGGAATACATTTGTAAGAGTCAATTTACTGGGAAAAAATATCCGATATTAAAATATTTAACAGTTAAGAAATTGAATTAAAAAAAAATTGCCTGTTTTTAAAATAATAATATAAACAAGAACATAATTTTTATAAAATTTAAATAACAATGAAAAAGTAATCATACCATTCAAGTTTAAATTAAATTATTGCATTAAAAAATATAGTTAATGATTGCAATGATTTATAAAAATAAATTATGATCAAGTATTTTGTAAATAATATTTTGCATATAGTTTCTATTAAATAAAACCAATTAAGAATAGATCAATAAAAAATTTTTTTTTTTCAAATTTTTCTTACTTAAATTTAAATCTTATTTAACCTTTTAAATTTAATCATAATAAAAATTTTAAAATAAAATACTATACAGTAAATATTAACTATAAAAACCAACAAAAACATTTTTTTAATTAATTTGCTGTTATACTCAAATATTTTGAACTTAATTAATTATACTTAAACTATTCAAGTTTAAATTTAAATTATGATTTTTTTCAAGTTATTTCATTTTTTAAATTATAAAATCCTTAAAATAAATACAATAATAGTATAAACATTTTAAATATATGAGGGAATACAATATCTTGTATTTTTAGCTTAACATATATCATATTTGAATCATTCTAAACATAAATAATACTGGCCAAGTTCACAAGTTTATCAATTTTTTTATATTTTCTAAGGATATTGTAATTATTATTTAATGTGATTGATGTAGAAGGTAACCAACAGTTAATTTATTGAAGATTATGTATTATGATGTATTCTATCATAACACTATCTATAAAAAAAAATGTTTAACTTGACTTTGATCACTGATCAGAATATCGAGCTACCAGTGTTCTTTGTTTTCATAATGTGTATAATGCTTGTAAATTATAATATATATCTTAGTATATTTATAGTGAATGATTATGAACCTAATTTTAATTTTTAATTTATAGGATTTAAAACTTTGTATGCAGATTAAAGATAAAAAATTTAGAAAAAACATAAAGATGTTTGTATGTAATGTTTTATTAAAATGTCCTAAGAACTTGGTAAAAGATATCTTAAAAGATGATCACGAAGAAATACGTGAATTATTTGGCGATGAAGATATACACCAATTATTAATGTTACCCGAAGATATACCGACTGTTAACATTGATATGTCTAAACGTTTGAATCGATTAAAAATCACTCAAATAAGTATGTATACTTTTATTTATTTATTTTTTTATTGTTTCATTTGTTTTATATTTTGTTTATAGATAATACAAATGTACAAAAATTATTATTAAAAAACAAAATAAGCATTGAATATGATTCAAGCAACTTACGTAATTTGCTTCAACAATTACACAAAATGGATATGGATCCAATGTTTAGTATTTTAGATATTAATTATGAAGTAAGTTTTTAATTTTAGTATTTTAAAGTTACTTTTATCTATTGCTATGTTTATATGCAATTGTTAATGTAAAGTTAATTAATTGTCAGCAATCAAATTAAAAGAAATTATTATGCACTTAACTTCTGAATTAAGTTAATGCTCATTATTGATAGCAAATAAACATTTCTATTAGTTCATTATTATTTGATATGAATATATTGTATCATTTTTAATACCATCAACCATTGTTTTTTTTTCAGTGGCAAGTTCCATTACCTTTGCAAAGTTTATTAATAGGATTACCTAATGGGTTATTTAAATATTTGGTTATTATACTAATAGCCAAATCAAAAGAAATGATAAAGTTAAATGTAAGTCAAGTTATTACTAATTACAATTTATTAGAATTATTGTATATTTGATAAATTTTAAATATTTACGTTATGTATAAATGAATGTCTGTGTAGGCGTGTAAAATAAAAACAATATTAATAATAATAATAATAGGTTATAAAATATTTTTTAATTAGGACTTTGAAAGAGCAAAATTGTTACTACGAGAAGCTGAAACAGAAACAAAAATTAATAATAACATTATGTACTCTAAAATTAGACAACTGATTTTATGGGAAGGATTGTATACTGAAATGCTTCAGTTTCAACATGAGTTCAAAAATTTTGGTTAGTATTATATTTTGGTTACCTAAAAAAATTAAATTAATAATAATATAATAATGTATTTATATTTAGTCAATTAAAAGTTAAAATGTTTATACTTTTACAGCCATTGGAGATCTGGTAGATCGCTGTAAGCAATGCCTAGAATTTGTACAAAATGATAATCTAATACCTCGTCAAGAAATTGCTGAGCAATGTATATTAACTCTATTAAATGTCGGTGAATGGGAATATTTGACAAAAAGGCATTATAATTGCTTTAAATTACCATTAGCTATTGCTTATACTTGTCTTGATGTTAATAAATTTAAAGGCACTAAAAAAAGTGCCAAAGAAGTATGGGATTTAAGTAAGTGTTGAAAAATGTTTAAAATAAAAAATTATGTAATTAATTATGTTAAATATTTATAGTTCTTCCGGTGTTTGATTATGGTTATTCTGCTACTAACAAAAGACCTTTAGATGGTGATCCTCAATGTACTCAAAATCGAGTTTTAAGTCAAAGTGACATGATGCGTGTATTTTTGAGTTTAAGAGACCAAAATGCCATTCAAATAGTTCTTTCATTATTAGCAAAAATTCAAAATTTTCTTAGAGATGAATCTGCAATGGAACTTATTATGCCTTTTCTGAATATTTGGCCAGTTATTCCCAAGTTTGTTCAATATATTAATATCTATTATATGTTATTGCACAGTATTTTGTTGAATTTTAAGTTATTAAGTTATTTAAAGAATTTAATTTAAAAAATTTATTGTTTTTTAGTGGTATGAATATTCCTCTTAGAAATATAACAGAAGTATTAGGAATTGTATTAACCGAATCACTTAAGTATCATCCAAATCATATAATTTTATTGAAACTAAAAGGCGATCTGCAATACGGTAATTTTATTATCATATTTTTTATTTTATTTTAAGTATAAATTTTTTCTTGAAAATGTTGTTAAACTTTTATGTAAGACAATCAATTTTCCTCTTTTTTTTTTCAGTAAGAAATTATGGCATAGTTTTAATTATGTGTTAAAGTGAATATCTGTTCATTCAAATTATGAAATACAATATTCTTTTTAAATTTAGAACAATTATTGTAGTCTGATAGTCATCCAATAAATAATAAGTCTTATACACTTTTAAATAATGAGATTTCTATATGTCATGAATATGCCTACATGTTAATATTTATAAAATAGTAAAGTAATAACTAGGGAACGGATTTAAATGCAAATTGTCTTTTTTCTAAATGTCAGAAAAAATTGCTTTTCAAGCTTAAAGTTCATTTCATTAATCAAGAAATTATGAAATGTAACTTTTATTTTGCATTTTTTATGTTGTGAAGTCATTTTTATGATGAAATGAATACAATTTGATAAAAATTTAGTGAACATACATTTTAAAAGAATATAATTAAATATTATTTATCGTATAATATGCCATACTTATATTTTTATTATTTATTATGTTTTACTGATCAGATAAATGTGATGGTAGATGAAATTATTGTTGATACTTATAGAAAATTAGGTATATACAATGATATGAATAAATAATATCTAAGAATAAAAAATTATATAACTAAATAAATTTTTTCAATGTTAGAAAAAAATTTTTAGTGCATTTTAAAAAAAAATTCTATTGTGAATGCATTATATTGTATTTTTTAAGGCATTTTTCTTGTTTTTTAGAGCATTTAAATCTATCTCCTAGTGATATCAAAGTTGATTTTAATGATTCTGTTAAATTATGAATTTGTTTTGAAAATATATTTTATATTAAAATATCTTTCTTATCAGTTGTAATAATATGTAAATAATTTTATATAGATATCCTCGTGTTTTTGTGTAACACTAAATCACTGTTATATAGTATACTATACTGTATACATATATGAAAGAAAATATTGATGTTATTTTTAGATATATTTTATTAAAAATATTAGTAGTATTATATTCCTCCTCGTATTTTGTTTTTAGATTTTTATAATATAACTGAGTCCTAAAGTTTTAAGATAAACACATGAAGTCATATCGGAATATTTTGATTAAATATATTAGAATTAAAATTAATAATAATATTGATAATAGATATCCACTTATTTTAAGAATACAATTTATTTATCCAATTTTATCAATATTTTATGACTGAAATTTTAATCTGTTTAATTTTCAACTATTAAAGAATTAAACATTTTAATTAACAATCCATAATTTGCTAAAAATTCAAAGTTAATAAAATTACTAATTATTAATTTATAGTTATGGGCCACTACAGTTCTGCAATGAAATGGTATTTGGAAGCTATTGTTATAGTCAGCGATTACTTTGCACGGCCAGTTTTAAAGCCAATGATAGAAGATTATGTTTATAAAAGAATGATGAAGTGTTGCATGCAAATGCAAAATTTTACCCAGGTAATTAAAAAAAAAATCTTTAAGAAATTTAATTTGTTTCAAACTATACAAAGTTTTATTTTATTTTTTTTAGGCAGCAATATTATGTCTGTTTCAAGAAGAAATAGATTATGCAACTGCATATAAATGTGCTTCTGAGACAAATTCGTGTGATGCTTTAGATGAATATTATGATTACATATGGGATATAAATTTGTTGGAATTTTTAATATATTGGCATACTAAATTAAATCATCAGGAACACAGACAAAAACTTGTAAGTAATTATATTTTCATTGCTGATTTAGCTTATTCTATGTTAATTGGTAATAGATTAAATTAATATGTATATCAGTTCAGTCGCTCAAACTCAAAGTTTATAACTTAAATACTTATCCCTTAACAACTTTCCTATAGTTTTATTATCATTTAATTTAGCTTCCTTAATTACACAAAAGAACATAAAATCTATAATTTGAATAGTATCACCTTCATAATCTTTATTATTTTGTATCTAATTAGAGATTATTAGTGATATTCTAAGTTATTTAGTTATCCTACAAGATAAAACAATAAATTATTACAAGCTATCTGTCAATATTTAGTACATATTTTACACTTATAGGATGATTCTTTTAACTAAGGACATTCATAATAATACGTTTTTTCATTATTTCAAGTTATCAAAAATATATTTTTATAGTTTTTTATCATTATCATTTTTTTACTCACTATCTGTTTCTTACTTTTTCAAATAATTTTGAATTATAAATAATTTTGAACCAGCTTTTAATTATTCTATTAGTTTATAAGAATTTAGTTCATTTAATCAAAACTAGTGGAGGAAAGTTTAAATACTTTCAAGTTATAAATTATTAATAACTTATTCAAAAATTTGATTTTTACACAGAAAAATATTCGATTAAGTATTCTGCTTCAGAGGTTAAATTAAGAATATAAATTTAAAAATAATTGACATTTCTTAAATTAAAAAATTAAAAAAAGAATGATTATAATAAAATTAGTGGAAATAAATGTTTTCGAAAATATTATTCCATAACTTGAATTATTTTCAATAGCTTTAATTATTTTCAAGATAATGAGTGTTAACTGCTAAAAAAGTACTTTAGTATAATATATAATATACACATTATAATATATTGCAATATAAATTCTATATACATTTTGAAAGTACAATTTTTATTTTATACGTATATCTATTTAAAATGGAGTGTTTTTATTTTTACACATATAGTTGAAAACAATTGGTGCGTTGGAGTTAAATGCAAATAATAATGAAGAAATTAAAAGAGAAGCAGCCAACATAAGAAAACTAAAATTCTTAAGAGCACTATCACAGCAATATGTACATCCGTAAAAAAAATAACTGAAAGACTATCTACAATAATTATACATACAATGATTTTATACATTTAAATTTCTAAAAAAAAAAAAACAAAAAAAAAAAAAATGGACATTGATTGTAAATATGTAATGTCTAAATTTTAATAAACATTGTAAATTTGATAAAAAAAAAAAAAAAAAAATTAATACTTACTAATTAGGAATAATTTATTACAATACAATTGTTTCCAATTATCACTCAATATATTAGACAATATAGGCTTCTAGAAGTTGAACAATATTTTCACTGATAAATATATTTATATTTATATTAATTTTTTAAAGTCTCAGAATAATTTTTAAAAATATTTTTGTTTAATTTATTGAAAATATTGATTGTACTCAGATTTAATGTATATATTATCCTTCATGACTATTATTTTATTATTTTTATTTTAGTCCAATTCATTATTTGAGCATTTTGTTTAATTTTTGGCTTTTCTTAATAACAAGCTTACTTTAAATTAACTAAAATAATAGTAATATTGTTTACAATGGTATATTAGTCAATGCATAACTATGACATCTGGAGCTGATTTAGTTGATTCAATACTATAAGGCCTTTGACTTAGTTCTGATGAAAACTTATCCATTTCAATAACAGCCTCAGCCCTAAATTTTGACGGTTTTGCATCAGTGGAACTGTCTGAATCTTTTCGATATCCAAAAGTAGAAAATCCTAATGGCGGTCTGAAAGGTGATTCTGATGGTCTCACTCTATAATGGCCAGCAGTTTTTGGTACTACTGAAGTGTCAAAAAGGCTCTCTCTAGTTTGACATTCGATATCTTTAGTTTCAGCTGTTATTGGATAGGAACTCATCAAACCATCACCTTCCTCGTCTTCAACTGAAGGATAAAGGTGAGGAGGGTCGTGCTTCATTAACACTGGAATAAGGTCACCTGATGGAACATAACAATCAGAACTAGATATGTTATTAATATGTTTGCTTTGAATTAAATTGGTAGTTTGACTACTGTTGTCACTTTGCGGATAGTCATGTCCATGTGGACCAGAATACTGAAGTGATTGTTCATCTGTTACATTCATTCTTCCAATTTGATCCAAATGATCTTCTCTTGAATGGCGCATATGTTCCTGATAAAAAAAAGTTTTTTAGTATTTTACTGTTTACAGTAAAAAGATAAAAGCAAAACTAATGTAAGCATACAAAATTATTGATAAACATATTTGAATTACGGTTTGCTTCTAATGTACAATGTATATTACCTTATACACAAGGATATTCTAATCCATTACTTTTCTCAAATGTTTTAGGAATATAAAAATAAAGTTTTTAGACTAAATAGAGGCGATGAATGTAACTTTACAGTGATGTTTTTTAAATTTTATATTATCCCTTTTGAAACAGTATAAATTTATCATACTTTAATTTTGAGGATAGTGTCTAGTTTAAAATAAAACTAGTTAGTACTTAGGAAAGTCTCAAAACTTTCTCAATACTTTTTTAAATTAAGGAAAAATTGGTACATTTACACAAAAAGTGATTAAAAAAAAATCGATTTTTATATTTATATATAATGAGACTTAAGATAAAAATTTAAAAATATTTCAACATTTTCTAGTCGTGACATAATTTTTAAAATATTTTATAGCTCAAAATTTACTGAAATGTTCAATTTTATAACTAAAGCAGTTCTCATTAGCTGTTCTTAAAGAAATTTGAACCAAATTGAATATTTAAACGAAAAATAACAATTATACTTGAACTTCATATAAGTTATTTTGTATTGAAAAAAAAAAAATGACGACCCTAAAAAATTTTGCATTAGGTATAATAGGTTTATTATTATTTTTTATACATTATAATAATAAAACGTATAAAATATTAATACTTATTTTAAGCTATTTATATCATAAACCTATTCACACTGTTCGATTTTATAATTAATGTTCAATATTATTTATATTTTGATCATAAATAGGTACATCAAAATAATTAATAATAATAAACGTAGCTCTTGATTTAAATATAATACAATTTATTCCCATTTGACATTTGCTAGTCAAATCGTAAAAGGTATAAATTACATTATATCTGATAATTAAACAATTGTATACAACTTACTTTTATGATTCGGTGATCGTGCACGAGTTTTCGGACAATATTGGTAATGAATGCTGAACACATTCCGCATAATATTAAAAAAAATACTACCAGAATAACTATTATGTCAAAACTTGAAAATAATTGCATTAATCGGTTGTCTTCTTGCTAAAATAATTTTTAATTAATAATAATCAAATTTAAAACAAAATTAAATTAAATTATGATTTAATATATTTTATACCGGGCACCCGTCTTCATCCCATCTAAAACGACAATTCTCGACTTTATTGCAACGTAATTCGGACGCAATGCATGTTAAATCTTCACAATCGTACTGATCACTACCGCACGCTGTAAAATAAAGTTTAAAATCTGTTAGACACAATATATAACATATATACGTAAACTTAAAACATTTTAAAATTTGCGATGAATCGAGAGGAGGATTATTTTGATTTTAATTGAAAAACTACTGCTAGACATTGTAAATATTTTCAAGTTATAAATGCTTACTTAAAATATCAAATTTAGAATGTTTAGATTTAAATTTACCGTTAATCGTTATACATATTAATATACTGTTGTAATGTCGAGTAGGTGTTATAAAGTACTTTTTGACACAAATTTCCATCATTATAGTCAAGAAAACGACGCAATTGAAGTCAGAGGGGGGTTTTGGAAATTCGAAAAGCGTATACTAGGTGCTAAAGATACTTCATAGTTGATAGTCAAAATATTAATTTTTTTATTATTATTTAAGGAAACTTGGTGAAAATAGTCGTAATGTAAAAAGTTTAATCTCTGTATGAATTTGTTTTTGAAAAATAATATCTTTGATGTATATTAGACGTAGTTATTTAATGATAGGGTCCTACCATTTGATAACTATAGATATGTCTCAATGTCGAGTGTTCCTATATACTCTATAGGTATATTAACATGATTTTTCGAACGAAACCTAACTATTAGTACAATGCATAAGTGTGCGCAGAATTTCCGATCAGGTGCAACACATATTATTTCTATTTTGTTGATGTCTGTTGATAAATTTTATTTTAAGGAACATATTCAGCAAATTTTTAGATAATGGGTATATTGTACATTTGTCAACACCAAAAACATCTATTTTATTATTATTTTAATTTTAAATACATAGTATAATCGTATCATGAACACGCAGAAAAATTAAAAAAAAAAATTAACGTTACAGAAAGAGCAGATGCAAGTGATGCAACCTAGGCTGCATGTGCTGCACCCGTGCACACGCCTATGGTACAATGACTATTATATATAGTATCCGAGTGCAGTAAGCAGTAGCATATTAAATTACAAAACTATCACTTTGCGAGTGTATTTTAAAGTGATATCTATAGAATATAGACATGAAGTTAAGGTACTGGGTAATGATTTATAATAATATTCACAGAAACTTTTTGATCTCAAAACTATTATAATGCAACATGTACCAGGTACATTGTACCTACTACCTACCTACATATCAATATGATGCATTGATTCCTTTTGCCTTAATTTATTCTATAGTTTAATATTACTTATATCATACCTTCGTCTTTAGTCTTGGTACGGTATGCAGTGTAAAGTGCTGAGAACTTAGATTTCACTCCCTTTCCCTCTGCCAAGAATCGAACGTGCAACGTGTCCCCCGATGATTGTACCATTTCAGCAATCGATCCACAAAACACTTTGAGCCGCGAAGCCATGTCTGTGCGGTTTGAAAAAATCTCCACTACGTTCAATCCGCAATCGTTAGGTTTTTCTAGAGAGAACTCTTTGAAGTTAAGCTGAATCTAAAATAAATGTACAATGGTTTTGAGTGAGTAATTAATGATTATGTTGATCACATCTAGTCGATCTTCAATAATTATATAACTGGTTACTAGCAACACTGTAAACACAACTAGACAATTTTCCGAACCAAAATAAAAAGAAACATCAAGCATTAAGTTATAAAGTATTATTGAGTATTTGTACAACAAATACAATAGTCAACAATACTGATTTCAGAATAAAAGTTTAAGTTTAATATAATTATCATACTTTTTGCTGTGAAAAATTGTGGTTTCAATTTCAATTGCGCAATAGCCCTGAGATTGTTTGATATTTTTTTTTAAAACTTGGTCAAAAGTTTTTTTTATAGATGCAAATGGTATAAGAGATTTTTTTTTGTGGAGGAGGGGTCTCCGATGCTTAAATGTATATACCTACCGGTCTCTTAAAATGCTTTTTTAGTACCTACCTATTACAAAATTCCTAATAAATGTTCTCGTTACGCTCCAATGAATATCTTTTACACGTAAATTAAAAATATTCAAACATAAGATATTAATTTATTCCCATTCTCATAAATTTTTTAAGAATATGGTAGGAGAGCATGAGGCATAGTGTTACACGGTGAAAAGTGTTACGGTAACAATTATTAATTCTACTACGTAATTGGTAACACCAAAATAATTACGCTTCAACCACAGAATAATTCAACCAATAACCATGTAGTACTATCATTGATAAACCGGTTTAATAACAAATGTATTTTTATAAATAATTTGAAAAAATTAAAATGTGTTAAAAAAAATAAAACGTATTTTATCGATTAAGTTTTTTTCCACAATTATTCTTAAAGGTAAGTTTTTTTTATTTAATTTTACTGTTTACCTTGTGTGCAGAATGATACTTTCCTGGAATTATCTTTTTGTACAAATTAATTACTGCGTTATAACTTATATGTTATAACCAACATCATTAAATATGGCCGATAGAGGCTTAATGTTACGGGGCAAACTGTTACAACGTTAAATATTAACATCATAGTAAAACTCGATTAAATTTTAAATCAATTTGTTTTAGTGTTTGTGTTCATTTATTTATTTATTTATTTTTATTAAAAATTTGTTTTAAACAATCATTTGTTTTGTACAAATGTGATTTAGTTAAACCAATGATAAATATAATTTTAATAATACTAGAAACTAAATGTTGCATATACCTACTTTTAATATAAAACGTACCTACCTAAATTATTATACATTTTGGTTAAATATTCATCTTCAATATGGACTTTTTAGTAGCTAATATAGTTACTTACTGATTGAACAAGTTTAGTAAGGTCTATCATAACCTAAAATTGTTTATTAGCTAACTTGTATCATTTGTATCAGCTATTGTAACAAATTGCCTCGTCCTAGGGTAACATGATACAAATTGTTATTTTTTTCAAATACATTTTTAACTTCCAAACATATATTTTTTACTGGTTATCATAATCATATCAATCATAAAAATTAGGAATTGATTTACTTTAACAGTTTTGTGTAAAATACAAAAAATCCAAAAGTGTGTCATATAGCCCCATGCTCCTCTGGTATGATGTCTTTAGTTTTTAAAAATTAAAGTTATTATAAGTAGTTAATATAATAGTAGGTAATTAATATAATAATATGATATTATTTATTTTTGTGCACAAAAATCCTTATCCTTTTAATATTTTCGACTATAAACCGTTTTTCAGTATACAAGTTTTCGACCTTGGTACATGTCTAATTAAACGAAATTTGCATATTTTAAATATTTTAACTTTTATATAATAATATATAAGACAAAAGTTCGTGTTTAGAATAACATTTTAGCTTAAATTTTGAAAAGATATCGATTTGTAGTATTAGTTACAGAAATACAGAATACAAGTGAATAGAAATGAGACTAGCTGAAGTCTTACGATTATGTGACAACGGCAGGATTTTTCTATTCAAAAAGTTTAAGTGGTTACTCTAAAGTTCCAATCATCAGCTAAATCCACTTCATACCAATATGTAGCTAAATACAGCGCTAAGCATATACTACACGTTTAATTATATATACGGATGTTTCCAAAATAGAATAGTTACCTTCCAACCAGGTTTTACTCGTATAATCCACATGCAATCTAAAGGCACTTGGTTTACAAGAGTTTTATTCTTTAAATCTTCAACATCAGTGCTATTTATGTACCCCTGTGAACCATCCACATATCTACGACACGGCGGAAGCTCCGATTTCTCTATATCTGTAAAATATAATCAATACAACAATTAGGTACAGATTTTAAGATACATTTCATTTTTGATTTTATGATATGAATCATAGTATTTTTTCCAACATTTATTGCATTAAATTTGTTTAGTAGAGTCTGTTCAAATAATGAATCATATAGTAAGACTATTGCTTTGGTTCAGTGGTATATTATTTTTATTTTTTTGGGTTGGGTTTTTTTGGTACTCCATGTCTGAATATCCCTGACTTAAAAAAATATTAATAGTTCAATGTATTAGTATTTTATTCATTCCTATCAAAATATTTATATCTGAACTGCAAAAGTGAAATCAATTTTATTAGATCCGATTGAATATGATTAGAGGTATATTTTTAAGCTAAATTTACAGTTTATCTGTAAATCCTAGAATTATTCAAATTTCACCTTGTCATTAAAGGATATTTTGGACAGTTCAAAAATCATCGAAATTAGCTATTTTTTTTGTTTATTTTACACATAATATAAAAATATATACCTACTATATTATGTTTGATGATCTTTTTCGATGGTATGCATAAAGATCTATAAACGATTTTTTTATAAACCTTTAGAAAAATATTACGAACCATGCTCCACATAAAATTTTTATGATACCTACTATCATACTACACATTCATTTAACGTAAAATACTCATTATTTTAGAAAGACACTATTTTTTTGATAATATGCAATATGCATATATTTTAAATAACACCAAGTTGTCACAAAACAACATTTTTAGAGAGAAAAAAATCATATTTTCACCCTTTTAAATGACAGTATATATTTTTAATTTTATGTTTCTAAACAGAATATTGATAGTAATATATTGGTAACAACTTAAAGAGTATATATTATTATAAGTATTATTACCTGGTGGGGGTTTTTTAATGAATTTGTAAACTGCGTGGAATCCTTCATATTCAATATTTTCATCCGACCGAAATCTTAACCATAAGTATTTGCCCGATGAAATTATTCTAGAAAAATAGCATGATATCGAATAATATAATATTATTATTATTATACTTATATATCCAAAACATTTCACTATTGCTATAAGACTATTATATTCGTATTGCAGTTTACAATGTAATAATACTTATATTTAAATTTAGAAAATTAAAACTACTTACTTCGGTGGGAATTGATTTCCACAATAGAGATATACTGGATTTGAATATCCGTATGGACCATCTCGAATTTCCAAAAGATCGTGTTTACACCCAATGCTTGGTTCTATAGTGAATGAGTCTCTAAAGTCAAGTTCAATTATCTCTCCAGGACCAGCTAGGGAAAATGATTAATTTCAATTTTAACGTTTTATTCAGAATTATTCGAATTACTGTTCACTTACCTTCTAACAATCTGATGCATTCTGTATTATTGGGATAAGGTTGAGGATAGCCGGGAGAGTAAAACTCAAATTCTGTTTCAAACTGATGACACGGTGAAATAGCCATCAAAGTTTCAGATGCCATATCCTGAACTGGTATATCATAATCAATAGTAGTTGTTAACGTAACATTAGCATCGATTGTATCCGGTTCTAAAATTTTATTTTTTACAGTAAAAATAATGAACAATTTTTTTTTTATTATTAAATATTTTATATTATATAATATTTACCCAATCCAAATACTTTTTTTGAAATAATTAAAAACACCGCAATACCTAAAAAAAGAAAAAAAAATATTCTAATTTTTAATTTCTTATATTATTATAATATATTTTTAAATAGTGAATTAGCCTTCCAACATTAAAATAACTGTTGGGATCGCGCGAAAATGCGATGCAAATATTAATTTATGTTTTTATTTATTTTATTGAGTAATTAGTAGTTTCGATGTATTAGAAAGAAAAAAGATAGGTAAAATAATAAATCTATAAAATCGATCACCTGTTAATATTAATACAAAATTTATTAAAATATAGAATAGTATGAACTATACATATACAATTATATTGGATAAGTCTATGTTACATTTTTTTTTTTTAACCTATTGTTACTGACTGAAAGTGATGCAGTGTACTGGAATGGAGAGATTAAATAAAGAGGACAACTTACATAAAGTTAAAAACATTTATTTGTAAATATAATATATAGTTTTAGTGTCTGAGTGGATCAAATATAAAATAGATTTGTTTAAATCTGATACTCTTATGTAGATATATAATCGCAGTTTATAAAGGAATATTGTGAAGTATTATACTTCTGTTGACAATTAAAAATGTGCAATGAAACATTTTTTTGTATTAGAAAAAATAAAATCTAATAATATGTCATACATTTAGATAGAGAAATGTACGAAAAAAATATATTTTTTTTTTGATACCTACCTAGAATAATGTTTATAATTGTTCATTTATTTGTCAGTTTTTGAAATGTTCTAATTTCTAATAGCCAATTGTCCATTACACATACTTAGAACTTAATTATGATTATAACATTAAAATCTACAGATAAAAAAATACAACTATATAACTTATAAGTAAGTTGTTTTAAACGAATTCCAGTGTGTTTTGTTTTTTAAACTTAGCGTTATAATTAGTTTCAATAATTAAGTCGTAATTACATGTACAATAATAATTTGAATAATATAAATTTTTAAAAATTAAAAAATGAACGTTATTATGTGTTTAAAAATTATCAGATAAGGAACATAATGTTCTTTTAGTAAGAAGGAAAAAGTATTATGAATATTAAAGGGGATGTTCGAAAAATTAAACGGAATAATATTATAATAATAATATAACTATTGATTATTCTATAATCAATGATATAACCCTACTAAAAACTACTGGTTTGGAATACCGAATACGTTTATTATCAATATTGTTTGGTATTTAATATATTTTAACACTATTCAACAAATCGTGCTTAAAAAAAATTGAATATGAAGCATATGAATCTTTATATGCATCTCCATTTCCCACGAATAAATCACTAAATCAATAAACAAATACACTGCAGAATATATTTATATACACACACCTATATAATATTATTTAAATAATTTATATAGTGCGAAACAATAGAAAAATCATAAAGATACCATAATTTTAAATTGATAATACCGAAAGCATATCAGAATGATATAATAATTTTGAATAAAAATTAAACTTGAAATCTGTTAGCTCATCGTGAAATAATCTACATTATATTTTTTGATAATTATTGATTATAAATTATAATTTATATTTCAAATTAATTTATTTTTAAATAATTTATAGTATAGTCCTCAGAAATTTGAATACTGCAGTGAATAGCATATAATCTTAAAATCTAAATATTTATATATGTATGAATTACTAGAATTAAAAATAAACTAATAACACTTATATTCACTTTAGAATTTAAAATGGTAATTTATCTTTTTTTTTTCGATAAAATAGTTAGTATAAAGTCTAAGAGAAAAAAAACCATCTGTTTAATACTTTACATTGAATTTTTATTATCCCTACAGTAACATTAAATTCTCATTTTATATCTATACCTGATAAATTATTCTTTCTTTATCATTCAACAGATGATTAATAATTTATTTTATTTTTATCTCTTGGGACATAACCTTATTTATGTTTTACATATTTAAGCATGTCGATAGTTGAGTTTACTTGAATTGAAAACTCTGTTTATATGCAAACGATAAATTACGACTTTTTATAATGTTAGTTGTCATTATATAATAATATGTTATTATTTTATTATTGTTGTTTTGTCTTTATTATTTACAAAATTTGCTTTAATAAAATTGCTCAATTTAACATACATGGACACATGCTAATCGAAGGTACATTTTACACGACGTATCATCATTAAACTTAATTTAGATTATTAAAACTGCAATCATAATACAGGTGCACAAAAACATTTGATATAAAAGTACTTATTTAATATTTTTGTTTAATCAGTTATGTACATATTAATGTATTATAATAAATCGTGTGTTTAAAATGTACGCAATGATATTATAACGAATATTTAACGAGGCTGAAAAAGTATCGAGAAACTGGACAAACCAGACGTTTAAGATACCATAGACTACGACTGATCACTCTATTTATGGCAAAATGGGTGGGTCAAATTTGTAATGTTATTTAAATTTTTTTTTTCAATAATAAACAATGTCATATGGAGAGGGGGGGCTAAGTATTGTGAAAACGGTTCACTTCCACGTGGTGATACCACGAGAAAAAATAATTATTATGAATAAAAATATCAACAAAGAAAAAAATATTTTGATTCAATGTACCATTTATTGGTATTTTTCAAATAAATTCTTAGTCATTTTTAAATGAGCACAAAAAAATTAATAAGGTAGGTTAGATGGATATATATTGATAGATGACATTTATATCTATGTAGGCAGTAAATCTAATCATAAATTAATTCACTGCTAACTGATTTTAATTTGATCAAAACCAGTAGAGTAATAATTTCTCCAACAATTTGTCTAGAATTCTAGATAAATATACGTTGAGACCTCAAAAGTTAAAAGTCTAAAATGAATCAACTGACTAAAGTAATCAAACCGCTGACAAACTAAGAGAAAGCATTCAATAAAATACAGAACGATCAGTGTTTGCTCTTGGTCAAGTTCTACTCCGACTACTAGAAATCCTCTACTCGAAGTCAAATCCTCTGTAAGCCATTTTAAGAGTATAACATATTTAATCAAAGTGATTTCTATTAAAACCATAGACATAGTGTTCATTTTATCCATGAGACGGCATATTGCAGAGACAACACACAGTTTTAATATTTGATTACTTTTGACTAAATTTAATTAATACACTATTCATTCAATTAAAAGCTAGGGATGTATTATTTTTATCATAACGACGGCGATAAATGATTAATAATCTGTCCCAACCAAATTTATGATCTAATACCTCCCTAATGTGCATATAAGGGGAAATCTTTCACTATTAAAAAAAATATATTATGTTAGATAAAATATTATAGTTACATATTAGGAATTTACTAAAACATTAAAACACGCAATAAAAGGGCGTTGTATTTTTATTCTCCCCTATTATTTTTCTAATGTTGAATGTTGATGGATTTTTTTTTTTTTGTTTTAAAAAAATGGTATACCTAAATAATATTTACATATAATTATATAGGTACATATTAATTTGTTAATGTATAACTTGATCAAATGTAATGTTATTATTATACACGTGTAAATATTAATATATTTAATGTGATAATACATAAAATATCGTTTGATACGATATTTTTACAAAATAAAAATAAAGGTAAGCAAATGGCACTGTTTTAATGCAGTATATTAGATTCACTATTTTGGAAGTGATAAATTTTAATTCAATGATATATCATTGTATTTGAAAAACAATTCTGAGTGGTAATGTCATGCCTATATCACTAAGTATATTTTATAATATAATTTTTTCAATATAATTATTCAAGTCATTTATTTTACTTTTAATATTATTGTTGGTTGATAGAATTTTTTTCCAAAAATATTGCATTTATTGTAATAATATATATTTATACGATATTATACCAAGTTATACAACTCAAAATTTAATAAAATCTTCCATAAACACGGTAAAACCCCGTATACATATATTCATAGCATAAAATTATAATAATATTTTAAAAGAAATTAAAAATGCCATTGTGAATAGTAAAATTTATAATAAGATATTATACGTTAAAGTTATAAGTTCACATCAACAATGTTTTGAAATTAAAACTAAATACTTAGCACTGTAACTTATTTTTAAATAAGTAATTTCGTTCAAATTTGAACTTAAAATGTATATAAAAAATAATAATCCTCAAATATATAATTATAAGGTTTTATGGTTTCACTATGGACATATGAAGAATCTTGTATTAAATTTTCAAAAAATGTGACCCTGTGAATAATTTTTTTATCAACAGTTATAGAAAAAAAAATTTTAAATTTGTTTGAGAAAAAATAATTATTCTTCTGATGAATTATCCAGTATTGTAAAAATTTTAACTTTAAATATTCATAAATAATTGAGTTTTTTTTTATAAATCAGTTTAAAAACTTATTAAAAACCATGTATTCAATTTTCAAATCTCAGATATAAAAACAGATTTTTATATAAATTTTAATTACAAAAAATTTACTAATCCTCACAATTTTTATAAATTTTATCAAAATTCTAACTTTGAAGGCTTATTGTGACTAGATATTCAATATTTTATTTTTGAATAATTCACAAAATATGAGCAGTTTTGTATTAAAATTTATGATAGTGTTTACAGAAAAAAAAAATATATATATATCATTGTAAAGTAAAATCAATACACAATTATCGCTCTATTCAAAATCTAAAATATGAGAAATTCGGTTTGCTGTAAGTATTGAGTATTTAGTTGTGTATCGTTTGTGCATCACTTTTAATAATTTCGAATTTATTTTCATAAGACAGTTGCGCATCGTTTTATTTATTTTTGGATTAAGCATCGTTTGTAATGTTTGTACATTCCATTTACCTTACGTCAAATTTTTATACACTATACGTATACGTATTAGAATATTCAGCAATGGGATTGAAAAAGATCAGGAATATACTATCGCACTTTGTTCACTTATTTCAACTTAAAATTTATTTATAGTATTCGATTTTTAAATATTGAGGTATTTCTGTATAAAAATATTAACGTA